CTCGTCATCGTGGTGGTGATCTATCGGCACAAATTCAAAAACGCAATGACGAAGAAAGGACAAGTAACGCGTGTCTTGAAACCTTGCACAAACCCTCACTCTGTTGATGTCAGGTGCTTGTCCTAATGAGTCCTAATGGCGGTCCTCTGTTGAAGTCACTGTCGATGAGAGTGTGTTGGAGCTTGTCCACGTGCTCGTCATCGTGGCCGGGATCTGTGGAGCCGTCAAACACAAAGCACGAGCAGTCTCAGTGTGATTACCTGGCTACGCAGGTGTCCTGTGATGATGTCGTGCTGGAGCTTGTCATTGTAGCTGTGATCTGTATCAAAAAAACACAGGCGCAACTAAAAGAACAAAGTGGCACATAGCGGCACATAGATCCCGGGCCTCGGGGGTTGCGAGAATCCGAGCTCCTCGTCTTAGGCATTTCACAGATATTGCCCCGAATACCGAGGTATATCATCTAGCAGAATCTAGCACATGCAGTACATTGGGGGAGAGCGCGTTGCTGAACTTCTGTTCTATAGGGTTCAAGATAAAATTAAGATGATTCAGATACATTCAGATGATTAAGTGCCTTCTGAAAGCGGCCCCGCCTCCCAGAGTCGACAAGCCACCAGCATCCACTGCGACACACTCCGTGGGGCCCAGCACCAAGGAGCCGTTGTCGTAGACTTCGAGCGATGCCCGAACCTCCCCTAGCCCCGACACTGCACAGGACACCCGATTACAAACGGAGCAGTTGAGTTCCTGGATGCTGTTGCCCTCCATGGTCTCTGCGACCACGGTGAACTGCAACACTGTGCCTGCGCCATATGTGGCAAAGATTTCGGTTGGCAGCTGAAGGCTGGGAGGATCCGTTCCAAAAGCTGAAGCCGTGCGCTGAGCTGCATCGGTGGCTTGAAGCTCAGCCAGGGAAGCCACGGCCATGTCCTCCCCAGCGACCACGTAATCCAGGCAGCAGAAGGCATCACCTGCGCAAGTCTCCGGACAAGTGGATCGATCCAAGCTTGAAATGAACGTGGGCCAGTAGTTGCGCTGGCAAGCGTGGAAGAGGTCCTGTGGGAAGAGCGAGTCAAGAAAATCATCAATGCACCATGAAAGTACGTGCTGCTCGTATATCTCCTCTGCTGAGGATGACGTTGGGAGGGAGCTGCTGGAACCCAAAGGTTGTAAGTCATCCGCAGCATCCCCGTTATTGTTGCCCAGAAGACCCTCCATTCGATTGAAGCAATGATCTGCTGGTACAATCTGCAAGAAGATGTGCGTCGCGTGGAAGATGGCCGTCACCTCGTGGCCGCGAAGGGTCTCCAGCACCAGCACCTCCCCGAACTGCCGCGTGCTGATGTGGCTGCCGTCGCCCTCCACCAAGACATCGAAGCTCGCAAAGCTCGCAAAGCTCGAAGCGTTAGCAGCCTTGGTGCCGTTGTTGCCGTTGTTGTCCAGGGTCATGTTGCTTTGAAGGACCGCCTGGACCACCTGGCCCTCCTCTCTCACAGCGAAGCCTCTGATGACCGTGGCCTTGCTCTCCTGACTCTCCAGGGCCTGCTCAGTGAAGACGTGGACCGCGAAGGTCTCGCACTTTGTCCAAAGGATCTCGCCGAGGAAGTTGCACTCGAAGCGAAGTCCGTCGAAGGTGCTGCAGTGCGGATCCCCTGACCCAGTGGCCGGTGACCGTCGCCGTCGCCACTTCTTGCCTCCTCTGTACGGGTCGTTGCTCTCTTCAGGAACTTTCCTGCGCTTCTTTTTTGAGCTGGTTGTGGTGGTGGTGGTTGTGGTGGTGGTTGTGGTGGTGGTTGTGGTGGTTGTGGTTGTGGTGGTGGTCCTGCAGTCGGAGAGCAAGCTCGTCTGTGCCAAGATGCGAAGCCGCGGAAACTTCCGGGAGGACTGGAAAAGGTAGGCTGTGCCGGGTCGGGCTCCCTCCTCCTCCTCCTCCTCCTTGTCTTTCAACTGCAGTCTGAGCAGCGTGTCGCTGCTGGAACCCCGATTTTCGAAAAGGTCCGAGTCCACCAGCCAAAGAGAACGGTCCATGTTCAGGACCACACCGCCCGTCCGGCCGGCATTGAATGAGCAGGATCCCAACGCGTCGATCCGTCCTGTGGGCAACTTCAAGAGGGCCTTTGTGAAAGGGGTGCCTTTCGCAATCTCACCCGGGCAGCTCTGAAGGCTGTCAAACTCCCCGCAATCGATGGCCAGCGCCGCGTGCAAGTTGAAGTTCAGCTCGAACTTCCGAAGGTGAAATCCGCCCAAAGGGTCCTGTGCATTGAGAAAGTCGATGAGAGGAATCTCCGAGGCCATGTCGAAAGACAGCTCCGGCTGCCTCGGTGTTCCACTACTCATTCGGACTCTAGGAACCCTCATCGAAAAGACAGAGTACAGTGCATGTGTATATATATATATGTGTGTATAGATATATATATATATGTATGGTCAATGGTCAAGCCTGACGGCTCGAAGGCAGCCCTTTGAGGGCACAGGCGAAACAACAACATGTATGTGTATATATATATATATACATATGTATATATATATATGTGTGTGTATATGTGTTTATGTGTATGTGTAGAAATATGTATGTATGTATATATATATATTTATTTATTTATTTATTTATCGTGGTTTTCATGTCCCAAGTAATCAAGTTAAGCAAAAGGTCCAGAGAAGTCCAACAAAAATGAATTCCAAGCCAGGCTGCAGGGAGACCTTCATCCCGAAGATGCCGTAGGCCAGGAAGCTGAGACTGAGCTTCGTTGAGAGCTTCAGGCCCATTGAGCCCTTGAGGTCTGCGATGCTTGTGAGCTTCGGTGGCTTCGGGGTGTATGTGTAGGTCCCAAGCCAGTTCCCATTTCGGCGAGATGCCTGGAACGTCTGAGTCTCTCCTACGACCCATGAGGTGCTGGCGGCCAGGTCGGCGGTAACACTACCGGAGGCAAAGAAGCCTAGAGACGGCTTCAAGGTCAGCCAGAAGCCGGTGAAGAGCGGGAACCTGATTTGGGACCACTTGGGATTCACCGGGAAGGCGATCTCCTCATTGTAGCCTATGCCGACGCTCGCCTTGAAGTCCACACCGGCCGTGAGGGACCAGCCGACGGAGTACTTGGCGCTGACTTCCAACTTGTCGTTGGCCCAGTCAAGGTCCACTGTCACTTGCAGACCGATCTCAACCCCAAGATTTGCGTAGACCCTGAGGCCTGCTTTCACAAACCCGCTGGCAGATTGTTGCAGGGTGGTCCTGTCCTTCAAAGGACTCGCCGAGAGGCGGCGGCCCAGAGCGGAGTCCGAGTCGGAGTCTACGTCGTCCTCGCCTCTCAGGATCAGTGCTTCGTCCAGCACCAGGCGCTTGTAGAGGTCCGTAATCTGGGCGGGGCGGGTCCGAGCCACCAGCCGTGGCCCGACTTCCTCGATGCTTTCAACGATCACGAAGAAAGGGTCTCCCTCGCTACTCAAGCCCGACAGGCAACATCCCGTGTTCAACACGGGCAGGCCCCCCGACTCAGCTTCGAACTGCACGCTCGAGTTCATGACTTCAATTGTCAGCGTCTCCGTGGCCAAAACTTCCACGAGCCTTGCGCCATCTTGTTCAACCGCGTCCTCGGAAGCGGTGACCACACGGGAGACCCGGCGGTTGCGGGACATGGAGACGTTGGGGCCGTTGGGGGATCCATGGTGTTCCACGACGGCCAACACAAGGAAGAAGTGCGTGGACTGAGGCTCGAGGCCGCTGATGCTGGCATTCAAGCGATCGGTGCTTGTCGCAACAATGCCCGAGCTGCCAAAGTCAAAGTCTTGGGGTTGGTCAAACAACTCAAACAACCCCTCGATGTTCAAGAGGAGCTCCTCGGCTTCCGCTCGCAGCAAGAGGTAGGTGATGCTAGAGATGAGCTGACTGCTGTTGGAATCCACCCTGACGTTTCCCCAGCGAAGATCCACTGTGCCCTTCTGCATGGAGATTGCGGATTCAATTCCGGCAAATGACACGTCAATGCCCGTGGTGGTAGTGGTGGTGGTGGTGGCGGTGGCGGTTTTGGTCACAGTGGTAGTGGCCGTGGTGGCCGTGGTGGTTGTGGTGGTTGTGGTGGCGGTGGTGGCAACCTCCATAAACTCCAGCCTTTCGGCATCGGCCTCCTCAACCAAGGTCCACAACGCCGCTTCACCACCACCGAGAAGGATTGTCGACGGCCAATCTTTGATAAATCGCCTGCCGGAGTCGTAGCAACATCTCACCCCAAAGTGCCTGAACACTCGTGGTGCCATCTCGAAACACCAAGTCTTCCGAGCTAGCGAGGATGGATCTTCGAAAGCACCGAAGCCGACCTCTCTTAGCTGGCGAGGCATGTTGCTGGGAACGGCTCGGCCTCCGTCGATTCCCGCGGGCTGCCACACGCTCGGACAAGGATACTCTTGCAGCTCAGTATCCGGGACGTCTCGCGTGGCCGCGGCATGCTGCTGATGCCACTGAAGAGCTTCCGCTCGCGCAAGGCCTCGAAGAAGATCCTCCTTCATCACCATGGGCAGCAACCGCTCTTGAGGCTCGGGCACAATCCCTGCATCTTCTCGCAGCCTGACTCGGGATTCTTTCTCTATTGCACACAAGTTGCACACACACACACACCTACCTTTTGTCACATCGCGTCAGGTTTAGAGTTTCAGATGTTTCAGCTGCCCTGGCCTATAAAGTTTGGGCGTGCCGGCTGCCCGCATGTCAAGCATGGCCGAGAAGATGCCCAGGCTTAGAAATTGGTCCGACACCCAGGAATCCGAGCTGTCCGAGCGTTTGATGGCAACGAAGCCGAGATCGCAGGAGTAGTCCAAGACGGCATCGGACTCGTAGGTGAGATTGAAGGCCTTCTTCAACATGACTTGCCGGATGCTAATTTGCAGGACACAATGCAGAACATACATACATACATACATACATACATACATACATACATAATGACTCTTTAAAGATGAGAACGAGGCGCGGGCAGCACCAGGATGTCCCCCTTCCGGGCCACGGAGAGGTTCCGGAGGTTCCCGTTCCAGTCATTTCCGCTTAGCTCCCGGAAGCCCGCGCTGAGCAAATGCGGCCCAGCCTCCGAAGCCCGGGGGCCCCAAGCCCAGTGGCACTGCCCCCAGCGATCTGGGACCTCGTCCTCAAAAAAGGGATGCCCTTTCAAAAGCGGCCCCTCTAGAAGGCCTTATTTATTATATAGGCCGGCGTAATTATGCTCACACAACGCTCTCTCAGGGTCCTCATCGCAGCCTTTGGGGGTGCGATACTGGAATCGGCTCTGGAGACCCGTGGCTTTCAGGGCTTGGCGTACGATCCACTGGGCACGCTCAGGCCCTGAGGCCACTGGGTCCGCATTGTTGACATGCTGCTCCACGTGCTGCTCGGCAGCGCGGACGTAGGAATCAACCTTCTGCTGCCAGATCCACGTGTGTTCCTCCTCTGCGAGTGCGAGTGGTGGTGGCTCGAGGCTTGGCAAACTTGGCAAAGTGCAGCTTGCGCCATCTGGCCCATCTGCCTCGACTTGCGTGCTTTTGACATAGCAGCGCAAAGCCACGAATCGCAGAGTCGTGGGAAATGGTCTTTCGTGCTCAATCGGTGCGGGCGCTTCATGTTGAGAGCGATCAAAGTTTTGGCTGCATGTGGGCGCGTAGTCTCTGTCCAGCCGGCCCATGATGGCAAGATCTGTTGCCACGGCGACGTGGTCGCAGCAGCGGGACATGCTGTGATCGTAGAGAGAGGAGAAAGAGCCCGCATTGTAGGCCCCGTCTCTTGAAGCGTACCACGGAAGGAGCTCTGGCAAGACCGCCTGCACAAGAGTCGACGGATTGGACTCAAAACGTTCAGGTCGGTCGGCTTGGAGGGCTGATTTGGGAGCAGCCACATTGAGGCTCACATTGAGGCGCAGCGTGCCGAGGTTCCCATCTTTCACATCCCAGAAGGTCACCGTCACGTTGTAGACGCCCATCTCCAGGAGTGGGGTCCAGCACATGGCGGCGTCTTCGTCAGCATCGGTGAGGTCGCTGCATTGCTGGCCGATGCAACAGGCCCGGATGGGGCACAGATTCTGAAACTTGAGCATGCTTCGTTGAAAGGCCCTGATTTCCAGCGGCTCGAGACTGATCTCGCCGTCGTGAATGTCGTGAATGCAGTCGGCATCGCCCCTCCTTCGTTTCAGCCAGGATTTCACAAAGTTGCAAGTGGGCTGGGCAAAGCCTGACACCTGGCTGCCCAGATCAATGTAAGAGATGAACCCGGGAAGAGCTCCTCTTTGGTACTGGCTCAGGTAGAGCACCTGCCCACCCTCGCGCACGAAGGGCAGCAGCATGTTGTCTGAACCAGCACAGAGGGCCCCAACCAGGATCAGAAGTTCAGGGACCTGCTTCCCGAAAACGGTCGGGTCCGGGAAGGAGCAGGAGAAACCATTGTTCTGTGTCAACTGCAACTGAGCATTGAAGAAAGCCTGGACCTCTAAAAGGGACTCGGAGCTCAAGGTGCTATTGAAGCTGTTCCCCCAAAGGTCGGCAATCAGAACCTGGCTGCCATTGAATGCACCGACCAGCAGCTCAAGCAGGGACAGCGCGGCCAAGGTCGATTCCGACCACGAAAGCATCTGAATGGCGAAAGGGATCCTTGTGGATTTGACTGAGTGAGCAAAGCCGAGGTCGCAGTGTAATTCAGGAGCCTGGGTTCTTGCTAAAGAACTAAAACTAAAAATAAGTCACTGCACCACAAGGAAACAGGAAACAATTCTTCATTTACTAAACAATTGAACCCAGGAGCACAGTATACGTTGCCGATTGACACTCCATTGGCATATACAGAGACAGCCTCAGAAGTCTGCTGGCGGGCATCCAGACAAGCGCCCATCTCTACGCGCAGACTGTCACTTTGCTGTGTGACTTCCCCCAAAGTGGCACGGTAGCTGACATGCATGGCAGATTCGCCAGAAGCACACTCAGGATGCAAAACGCCTGACTTCCAAAGCACAGTGGTGCCATGCAGAGCAACAAGACTCTTGCTAACACCTTCCTCCCAACAACGCTGGCAGGTGCCATCCTTAAAGATTGACAGAGAACTTCTCGCACACTCGCTGCAGGTGGGTCCGGCATAAGGATAGAAGCAAAGGCACCCGCACAGCTCGGCCGAATCCGTGATAGGAGGGCCCCAGGCCTTGTGGGTCACTGTGCCACGGTGGTTGCACAAACCCTCGTCGCAGCAAGAAACCCACAGGGAGTAATTGCCCGTGGCGTGTCTGCGGCCGCCGACCTCAATATTGTAGCAGGTGTCGGCTGCAAACCAATCCATCTTAAGCTCGGCATTTGCCCCACAGTTGCCACAGTAGGTGCATGACCACTTCTCTTCCAAACCCTCGCGCACAGCCAACGTGGTGTCAAATGAAGACCCGCAGGTGCTGATCAATACATCGCCGATCTGTGACGGATGTGGCGGGGTGCAGAAGATGTGGCTGACTTCAAAATCCGGCATGCTTCCATGAACAATGCTTCCACAAGAAACGTTCACTCCTGATCGCGGTCGGGGCATCCCAGTCACGGTGTAGGAGGTCGTAGTCGTAGTGATAGTAGTCACATTGTCTTCCTCGCGCCCACAAGTTGCGCTGAACGAGCTGACGAGAAGATGCCGCCATTCCGAGGGCATCGGAAGGAACCGATCGTTGTAGGGGACTCCGAGAAACGTGATGCGTCCCTTCCCATGACGAGACGTCCAAGCCACTGCATTCTCAATGTTGTCGTAAAGTCCATCGACCGTCTCTGGCAGACTCTGAAGCTCTACGCAACGCGCATAATGACTCACTGGCAAAACCTTGGGACCGCCTCCAAATCCATCACCCGACAAACGCCTCTCCTCGTAATCCCCGGACCCGGAGTAGCAGCTCCTCTCTTGGAGAAACGGGAAGCCATCGCCATAGAAACCCAACTCCCACCGGAGCTCGTTGAGGAAATCGATGGCTCGTCTGCCGAAAAGGAGGAGGTGTAGCCCATCCAAGATTAAACGGGCCAGAGCATCCAAGTAAGCGAAGCTCAGAATCGAGGGATGATCCATCGGGACCAGGAGCTCTGCTCCCGAGGCGCTTGTCAAGCCCTCGGCAAGTGAGTCCAACACTGACTCCACGGAAGGCAAAACTACCATGGGCTCAGCAAAGGCGAGGAGCTCAGGTATCGGGTTGGCCCCCGCGATGTACACCGGACATGTGATATTTGTGATATTCGTGGATGCGCTTGGGGCTGTGCAAGTCAAGGTGAGAGAGAGGTCTCCCTCGTTGGGGTACCAACGATCAGAGCCGTCCACATGAATCGAATAGCATTTGTCCGGAAGGAAGCTGATGGTGACCTCAGAGTCCCCGAAATCCGACAAACGACAGTGGCCGCATTCGCCACAGGAATAGCTCACAGCGGGACCTTGGACGTGCAGCCAAGTATGGAAGTTCGACTCGCAGGTGCTAATGTGGACTGTGCCAGCCGTGGAAGGACAAAACCAGTACTGCACATCTCCACCTTCATGCCCAATGGTGTTTGGCAGGCCCACAGTCGAACCATACACCGTGCTCCCACATGAAAGCATTGTCGTGTTCGATGCAGCGGGGCAAGTGACTGACAACACATAGTCCCCATCTAACCGCTCACCTGACAGAGGAGCAACATCCTTAGCATCCCGAATCCTACCTACCACCTATTACTATAGGTCCTACTTGTTCACTTTACTTCCCTCAGCCTTCCACGAAGATGTCATAGCAGTCGCCAGGTTGAGCAGTCAGCCAGTAGCAGTCACCACAGTCGCAAACCCCTCCAACGCCTGGACCTTGCACGTGCAGTGTGGTATCCAAGTCTGACCCGCAAGTGCTGACCTGGACTCGCCCGGTGTGGTCGGCGCAGAACACAAATCTGGCGTCACCCTGTGATCCGCCATTGAAATTTGGTAAACCCACGGACGACCCATTCACGGTACTCCCGCACACAACCGCTGTCGTGTTGATTGCGATGGGGCAGGAGATCGACAATGTGTAGTCGCCTTGCTCAAAACCCCATCCCTCAACAATGATGTCGTAGCATTCGCCAGCTCGGACGTCCACCCAAGCCTCTCTATGGCCGCACGACGCGTGGCAATCCCATGCGCAATCCACATCAATGTCATGGCCTTTCAAGTAGAAGAGAGTGGGCATCATCCCACTCGACAGGCACGTGCTGATCTTGACCCTGCCAGTGCTGTTTGGACAGAAGCTCCAATGCGCTTCGCCTCCGCCGAATCCTAGAGTGTCCGGCAAGCCAACAGTGGAACCGCTCACTGGGCTCCCGCACGGAACAAGAGCAGTAGTTGCCGTAGTTGTAGTAGTCGTCGAGCAAGTAAGCGACAAGACGAAGTCACCTTCAGACTCCTGAAACCCTTCAACAAAAATGTCATAGCATTCGTCCGCGAGGACGTCGACTGACAGCTCTGTTTGAGGGGCACAGTCACCACAGTCGTCGCAATTCACATCCACAATTGGGGACTTCACATGCAGCCACGTATCAAAATCAGATCCACACGTACTGATTTTGACCCTGCCAGTGAGGTTGGGACAGAACGAGAATCGAGCCTCGCCCGATGGCCCGCCCATGGTATCTGGCAAGCCCACTGTCGAACCATAAACCGGGATCTCGCACGCAACTGCTGGGCATGACACTGACAAAAAGTAGTCGCCCTCAAACGGTGCACCGTTGCCCTCAACATATATGTCATAGCATTCACCAGCTAGAACGTCCACCCAAGCCTCTCTTTGGTTCCCGCACGCCTCGCAAGAACTGCTGCATTCGATGTCAATGCCTGGGCCTTGCACGTAAAGCGCAGTTGCGAAGGTGGACTGGCATGTGCTGATCTTGACCCTGGAAGTAGTATTTGGACAAAACACCGCATGTGCATCACCTCCCTCCCAGCCCATGGTATCTGGCAAACCAACCGTCGATCCAGACACGTTGCTCCCGCAATCAATGAATTGCGTGCCAGGGCTGGTTGGCTGAGTTGTTGTGGATGTGTTCAGGCTCCGGGTTACATGTAGCGCCAAGGCAAGGAGCGCTGCGAACGGCTTCGCAGCTCGTTTCATTGGCACTACCAGTCACTACCCTATTTCCCAATTGAAATGTCGGATGATGTCGGATGCTTCTCCGGGCGAAAAGCTGAATTTGAGCAGTTCGAGCCAAAGGCGCTAGGCCAGCACAAAGTCGAAACCACGCCAAACATGTTGGCCACCGGGTGCATCATGATTGGAAGATGCTGGAAAGCTCTCACGCTTTCAACCTGCGCTTTTCTTCTGGGACACACTGGCCAGCCTCGGTCTCTCAAGTGATGGTTGCTATGTGGAACACATGTTTATGTCTCTACTCTGGGCTGGCACGGCATACTGCCAAGTGCTGGATCATCCGTCGGATACGTGGCGTGTCTCTCATGGAGGATGGCTCAGGACCTGGTCCAGGAATGTGAAGATTCCAATCCGTCAGGATCCAACAACTGGATCCACCTAAGCCACTTAGCACATGCCAAATAAATAGTAAAACCTCAAACCCTGAGCCCCAAGTCATAAAACCTCATGCAAGATTCTCAAGGGCGGAGGCGCATGTCCTTGTGCAGCTCCTCCAGCATCGGATACTCCAATGCCTGGTGTGGACAGATCTGCCGAAGGTTCTGGTCTTACTACGGAGTACCTGATCAGAATCTCGACCCCAGTCGTTGAAGAAAGCGTTCTTCGTCCTAGCTCTTTGGAAAGGTTTCATAACATGACCGGGGAAGACCCTAAGCCCCCAGACGGATTTCAATCACGGGATCAATGAGGTTTGCAGAGCGAGTGCGAGAGATAGTCTCCGTGTGCGTGTGTCACTGGAAAGATTTGGTACTAGTGACTGCTGTTTGGTAGAGGTGAGAGAATCCGGAAGGGGTTGGAGGCCCTAATCAATCACACTTTGAACTGCTGCAGTACCGATGCAATGATCCTCTCATGTTCTGCACATCGGCACAAGCATAATATGCAGGTCAGCGCTGCTTAGTCAAAGAACTCTTCGACCAGCTTCGTCGCAACAAGCTTGCAGACAGAAATCAAACGCTTCTCTGTGTTCCGACGAGGCTGGGTATGCAAGGGGCAGATGCAAAGTTCCCGGCTGACCTGTGCTCGCTGCACGGAGAATCAGTCCTCGAAATCCATGTCCTGAAAGGCAGGTCGTACACGCTGAGCGATGGGCATCCCCGAGGGCCCCCCCTACCCCTGTGTTGGCAACAACTCTCTTTCCGTGCTGTCATGACTGCAAGCTCCTCGCTGTCGACCTCGTCGCAATCATCGTCTCGCACAGGCTCCTGCGCCTGGAAGAAAGGTCAATCGCTTACCGATTCGGAGAGTTGCAAGTGCAGTGGAGGCTTCTCAAACACCTCACAGGAGGGTGAACGGGGCAAACCCTCTTAGCCTCGAAAGCTAAGATACAGCTTCAGCAAGTTGGAATGCACACATCGCAGACATTTGGTCTCTGTGCCCTGCTTATGGCGACGTGTCGTGGGAAATGCCACGTGGCGGGTGCCTGTGCATGGAAAACTGGCATCCCTGCAGAACCCTGGGTTTTCGACTTGCATTCTTCAGCTTAAAGAACGTAATCTCTCTAAATTCTGAGCTTGAGAGCTCCTTATTCCTACAGTACTTGTAGATTGCTCAGCCTGCACGGATGCCTCTGCAAACTTAGCTTGCGATGTAGCTTCGCGCACTTTTCTGCGATGTGGCAGGGAGGTGGGGAATGCATAAATGCGCGACCCTTTGCCGCACGTCCAGAAGCTGAGGCGCGCAGTCCCGGCGAAAGACTGCACAGAAAGGGACACATGGGGTACAAGGGTGCCAAACCAAGAAAACCTCTGTGAAGCTTCCCAAGAGGGAGGTTGCTGCCCCTCTGGTATGTCACAGCGGCTTTACTGGGTATGTGCCCAGTCTTGCCTAAGAGGGGATGTTGTTGCGTTCTTTCACCCCGTGTCGAGGCCAACCAGGTGGTTTGCTGGAGAGTTAGTTGGGCCTCGACCCAAAGCTGGCGGATCGAGAGCTGCCGCCACTGCTAGCAGAGAACTCCCCAGTCAGAAGGTTACAGGCCTTGTTGAAATAACATGTCGTCGAAGCAGACATCCAAACATGCTACCAGCATTTTGCCATCCGGAAACCTTGCCAGAAAGTCGCACCTGCTTCGCGACGTAGTTGACCTCCTTCTCCAGTTCAAAGCCTAGGTTCATGCTGAATTTATTCACGAAATGAATGTTGTCGTGCAAAATCACCATGTGACCATGCGCACTTGGCATCTGACTAGTGTGTGTGTTCGACTGCACTACTTCTTGCTCCTCGAACGCTGAGGCACGGGCCAGCATATGCTTCACAAACCAGCGACAGCCTGCGTGTACTGGGACCAGCGTCTAACAGTCTAACACAGAGTGTACCCACGCGTGTCGTGCTTTGTCAATTCTTCAGCACCACAAGTAAGCCGGCGAATGTCAGTTGAACAACAGAAGTCCAACACGACCTGCAACACTGCACCTAAACGTCATGAAGGTACTATTCTTGGAGCAGAAGCCTTTAGCATGCACATGCTTTGCCGCACCTCAGCCTGCATTTGCCAGCCAAAGGGACCCGAAAACGGACGCTGGCCGTGACCTTCACAGACTGGGTGCATGGATGGCCCGAGACTCCAGAAGGTAAGTCCCTGTCTGTCGAACGGCTCCTGAAAAAATTCCCGGGAGTTATCGGGAGCTCCCCCCCAGCCCTCCACAGAGCTTTGGACCTCGCGAGACGGGTCAGCGATTCGCCTGCACCTGAGCCAGTCAAGAAGTCGCTCCTGGGGCATCCTCCGAAAGAAAAGTTTCATGCTTCGTCTTTCCAAAAGCAGAGCATCAAGAAACGCTTCAGAAAGGTCGGCGAGGTTCATTCATGGAGCTTTCCTACGGCCCTACGAGTACTAAGTTGCGGGCACACTCGACCCGCTCTTGCCCTTCCCGGGAAGCCGGAAGGTCAGCCACCAGGCCTCCGGAACCTAGCCAGCGCAGCCAGCAGGAGCAATCGGGTGGCGGCCTTTTGGAGACCGGCGCGGGGCCTTGCCGGGGAAGTGCGGAGCGTGTGCAGCACCGATCGCCTGAAGCCATGCATGGCCAAATCGGCAATTTGTTAACATCGTGCAGGGCTTTATGACTGCTTGGGGGCGACGATTGGCGTGGCCGATGCCGTGAGTGTGTTTCGAGTCAGAGTCGCAAAATGAGCTCCAAAGAATCACAGAGGAGCCCCCTGGGCCCTCGCTACAAACCGCCATTCATCAGGCCTCTCCTTCTCGGAGGTTGGCCCGCAGCAGCCTGGCTCGAACCATTGCCGGCAAGAAGTCAGAAGCCGTGCTTTCATTGACGCATATACCAAAGGGTTTGAGTAGGATCAGCTACACCTCTGGCCAGAGGCTAGCGGCTAGAGGAATGTCGCTACTCGCAACTTCACAGCTTCAGCGTATCTTCTCCAGATGTCTACCTCCATGGCTTTAGGAGGCGAGCCAGGAGCCAGCAACACTTCAAGCAAGCTGGGAGAACTTTATCTCCAGGGTAGCGATGTCACCGGCACAAATCTCATCTTCGCCGTGCACGAAGACGTGAGCGTCCTGCGCTGGCATCTGAGGTTTCAAGCTTCTGCCACGCCAGATGCTCCTGCATTTGCATCCTCGGCGCCACAGCCACGAACTCCTCGATGTCCTGCAGTAAAGTCTGCAGAGGTCTCAAGCCGGGTGAGAAGCCCCAGAGTCGACCGATGGCCCGGTAAGCAAAGAGCTTGCAATGGATGGGAGCCCTGGCTTCTGGCTTCCCCCACAAGACACTTTTCCTCTTGGAACTGAGAGCCGGGCTGCAAGCTCTGAGGGGCTCAGGCCCAGCTCAGACGCACCCAGAGCCGCGCTGCGCTCCTGGTCAAGAAGGCATCGCAACCCTTGGTCTGCGAACTCAGCCGCCCCAGCTCTCTCTCTGCAGCCTCTGGAGGCATCTCCAGGAAGCCGGTCAGTGTGGAGTACTTCTTCTGCCGCTTTTGCCACCACCTTCTAGGCGGGATGCGAGAATGCCACGACTGGAAGAGCACTAAAGACTATTATTCTCATCTTTCTCTACGTTGTTGCTGTGGCTCTCCCTCACTGGGCCAGTTTCTGGCTCTTCGCACTCCCAGTAATGCCTGCAATTCCACTTGTTGCATTCACTGTTTGAATGACATCTTCTGGCAAAGGGCGAACACCCTCACCTCAAGCCGCTCTGTGTTGGACCGAGGCCGCTGCTTCACCTGCTCACCCGTGAAGTGTGGGATCCTGGCACGACACTGCACCCCACCGGAAAGCCGTACCGACCATCACCATGGACCACCGGCCAGCAACAACTCGAAGGTTTACGAGAGTGGAGATCCCCAACACAGCCAAACTCTCCAACAGAGCCCTGCCGAGGCACTGCGACAGCACGGATCCTGGCTTGCTGGAAGCTGCAGGCTCCACGGCCTCGCAGAATGCTCGAGGCTCGAGCCGGCTTCAGCCTTCTCTTCGACTTTTCGGCAGGTCAGAGATATGTCTTATGCGCTGATGCTCGTCAACACATGCCATCACATGCTCAAAAATGCCCCCACCGTTCCGTCCCGGACGTCTGCTCCGATTGGCACGGTATGAGGCGTATGAGGCTCATTGAGGCTCTATCAGCATCGCTTCTTGCGGACCTGCACAAGGCCCCTGTGGAAATCCAGGCAGCTGCTGACGCTGTCCGCCTGCCCTGAGCTTGTCTGGAGTTTGAGAATCTGGATGTGCGATTAATTTAGGGTTGAAGAACTGGCGCAATGGCTGAAGCATGTGTTGGGCCCGAAGCCGTGCGACGCAGCTTCTTGAAGGAGAAATCTGCAAGTTACCTGGCATCGAACTCACGGAACATGAAGCAGTGACAAAAACGCCTTAAATTTCATCAGGGCCACGCCTGCCACTGCTTGAGTGCGCTGTCCAACTCGCTGGAGCGCTGGAGAAGATCAGTTCTCCGCAGGATGTGCCCCCAAAAGCATGTCTCCTTGGATCGCGAATCACCTGTTGACAGCTGTCGAGCGACGCCTCTGAGATTTACAGCCCAAGCAACTGCTCGCTGCAGAGCCATTGCGCTCTCTGCCTGCAAGGCCCTAAACCCTTCACGGTCACAAAGAAAGAGGCAAGCTTGGAGTGCACAGGCCCCACACCACCTCACCGTTCTCAGCTCGCTTGCCTTTGGAGAAGCTGGCACCGGCTGCCTGCAACCTGGCGGGAGGCAACAAGAATCTGACATCACTGCAAAGTTCCGACAGGGGCGACTCTCGCCGGAGCTGGTCCAACGGCTCCTGTTCCTCCCAGCGAAGAAGTGCAGCTTCTCGGGCTACCCCGGGAAACAAGAGGATGCGCCCGCACCTCCTTCTTGGGCTTCTCTGCTGCTGCATAGGCTCGCAGAATTAGCTCCTGTGCATTTCACATTGCACAAAGAGATGCACAAAACCAAGGGCAAAGGCAATGACCAAAAGGATTCAAACATGCGAAACGACTTCCGAAAATGAGCCCGGATAACGAGCCCGCGAAAGATCTGCCAATGCGTGGAGACAGACCTGCAGCTCTCGTGCATCCAGAGACGGAGAGAACCCTTCCGCCAAGACCTGGCTGGCACCCAGGATCGCAAGTGAGGCAAACCTGTGGACATTCGCCTTCCATGCCCATACGATAGAGCGCCTTGTTCGTTTCACGGGGAAGCCCGTTGTTATCGACAGACGAAGAGCCCCTGCACAGACACATCAGCAAAGAAGTGCGTTTGCGTGCTCGCTGGTTCACTCGATCTGCGGTTGTTTTGCGGACACTTCTGCCACCCTAATCTCCATCGGTTCGATGGAGTAAGCAAGGGTAATCATTCGCCGGAGAAGGGCTGAAGTGTCAGGAACAACTCCTTTTCAGCGCAGCAGGGCATGCGTGCTTGAGAGATCCAGAGCAGATTTAACCACAGATCAGTCATTTCCATTGCGAGGTGCTCTACCGGGCAAAAGCCTGCTTGAAATCGAGTCGGTAAAGTACGAAACCGCAGTTGCAAACCCGGCAATGCTTGCGGAGGGGAAGCAATGAACGCAACAGCGGCAAAAATCTGCTCATTCAGAAAGTTCAGTGGTGCTGCTAGACATCAGTCAAGAAGTGCCACTAGAACGGGGCAAGCAGTGGATCTGGAGAATATGGTATGTGAAAATATCCCATCCCGCTGGAGCAGCTACTGATCTGTGTCCAAGTGGCATGCAGTACAGCATCAATAACGGCACGCCGATGACAAACAGGAGGAGGAAAAGCACTAGCACCAATCCCTGCTTCTCCTCACAAAGACAACTTCGTGGATTGCTGAATGACACCGAGAAACTGACAGAATTCGACGGCCCCGCGCCTTGCTAATCGTCGGGAGCGCTACATCAAGCTGGACGCGAGTAGGTCCATCCGGATTGCCGTAGGTTCCTGGGAAACGAGGTGGTCACATAAGCAGCACAACGATCATGGCCAAAAGGTGATACAGAAGAAAAGTAGCATAGCCAGTTTTTAGTTACATTCAAACACTATGCATGATACCACAACTGGATGCTGGAAGTAAAAGGGTAAAAGGCAATAACTGCAGAGACTTTACGAAGAGATTGCATCAATAATAACGAGACTAGTCGGATAATGACTACAGTACTACGAAATACCTATTATCGTGACATATCGTGACCACCATCATCATCAGCCTCAACATCAGCATCCTCATAACAACAAATTCGCGCAGAAGATGTGTTGCCCCTTAGTGAACCAGGGCCAACGCGGTAGTTACGCTTGGCCACGGGGTCCGTGAGCGCGTCGTATGCCTGCCGAAGCCCATCCGAATCAAGAGCCAAAAGAATTTTGGCACATCCACTCGCGCACGATGCAGGCCTTCTTGATGAGCATGAACTTCTCGGCCGCACCCTCCTCCTGATTCTTGTCAGGATGGTACTTGAGGGAGAGCTTGTGGAAGGCCTTCCTTGATCTTGGCCAATGCGAAGAGCAGCAAACCCGGCAACGGCAAGTCACAAAAATTTACAGTGGCATGTGCCCTGCGTGTACAACAAGGTTACAAGTGATCTCCGAGACTCTTGACCTGCGAAGTGGAGCTGGTCATGCCAACATCCAGGATCTCATAAGGATCGAAGTTCTGATACCTGAGCCGTACGGCAAGAGATCCCCCTCTTTAAACGTGTCCCTGCAGGATATCGGATAAGCTTTCGATATACAAAATCAGTCTCGACGAGGTGGGAGAGTTCGGACAGCCTTCGTCTGTTTTTCGCCCTTCACGGACGACCTGTCTTCTGTGCCACTAAGGTGCAAAGCACTCGTCGCCAAGACCTGCCTGACCTGGCGCGTCCAGGAAACCGCTGTTGTGTGGCGGCTGCGGTTGCGCTTTGCCGTGCTTTCAAGGATACGTGCCACCCTGCAGTACAGCGCCACAGCCACTTTGGGCCTGGATGATGATGTAGGTAAGCCAGCACCAGAGAAGCATCAGAATCACAAGGCGCCTCAGCTGTGAAGAGTCTTGTGCCTCATCGTCTTAGAACAAGCCCGCCTGCACCAAAGAGTGAGGACGCTGGGTGATTCGCGCTTCGAGTGCAGGCAAGCTGCACCACGAAGCCGGCGGAAAATTTTCGAGATTTCCTCTGGCACAAACTGAATCAGGCTTCCCACATGAACACAGGCCACATCTACTTTGCACATGCGAAGACCTGTGAAAGAAGGCTCGCTGTTTCCATGTTGGGAATTGGTAACCCGGCTTTGCCCCTCTCACCGCTTGCAGCGAGCGTCAGCTCTTTCAGCGCCGCATCACGTCGCGCCTTCCAAGTCAAGTACGTCGAGACGTACCACCCAGGACCCCGGGCTTGCCCGGCAGCCTCAGAACACCCAGAAGGCCCTCCGAACCCGGCCTCCATGGCCTGTGTTCGGCAGTAGCGCACGCGCGAGCCGTGCTCGCTGGTCTCGGGAAAAGCCTTCGCCGCCTCAAACACCAGCGTTGCGCAGACTGATCCCCGAAGTAAGACTCGCAATTCGACTGTCGGACCAGGGCCCTGCACCCGCCTCGGCACGGCCCGGGAAGAGTAGGTGCCACACCACGGCTGCAGTCCACGGCACCAGCAGGCAGCTCAGCATCGCCAGAAAGAAGAACAGCATGGCCTTGGATTCCGAGACTGTCCTCAACTTTGCCAGAGGTGCTGCACCTGCCGGCCAGCCACGGAGTCATCTCCCTCCTTCTCCGACTGGTTTTTGGTCTTGGCCGCTGCGCATGCAGGGGCCAAGGCCAAGGCCAGCAGCCAGACGCACATTGCGCGCATCTGGATCTTCCAAGCCCCAATGCTTGGGGCAGCACTTGGGACACAGCTCGCGCTTATGCAATGCCTGATAATGTCACATGGTGTTGGCACTTTCCGTGGATGTTTGTGGTCTTGGGCCATTGGCAGAGGATTCAGGATATCATTAAATCAAATAGGCAGAGGTCATCCGTCCATGCAGTTTTTCGGAAACCTTCTCGTGGCAAACACGCAATGCTTTTTGGGAACGCTGGCAGTCAGACGACCCGAGGGTTCGGCCACTCCAAGAGTGCCAACTCTAAGTTTCAATTAAGCTTCACCCCCGGGTCGCTTCAAGCAAGGTCTGGCGCAGGAGTCTTAAAGGGTTGGCGCCTCTCAAGCCTTGACGACCTTGCCGTAGAAAATGCCCTTCAGGAGAACTGTGCGTGGGGCCTCGAACCATCTGTGTACTTTGCATCACAAGACTTCTGCGGCCGGAAAGTATCCATTGTTTTAAGGATATCGTGCCCCGCCCCGCCTTGGCACCCATGTCGGTATCGGATGGCTGCTTCGACACGAACACGCCACCGATCTCACCCAGCTCCTGGTTCACCTTGCGGTGTGACGCCAAACCCGACACTTGCCATTTGCATGACTCGACTCTACCTGCCTTGTTGACCTCCATCTCAATGACGCCCTTGCCCAGATCGAACACCTGACACACGGAAGGGCATCTCATCCGCCATGGGCTCCGGCCGTGCCTTGCCTTGTTGGTCTCCTTGAAAAGCTCATCCTGGCCACCCTGTCCATCGGACTGCATGGCCGGCAAGGCAACAGCCTGGTCGTAGCCGAGGGTCATGCCGCGGCCCTGCCCAAGAAATCGAAAGACTCAAGTACTCGCAGGCTGCTTTGCAAGCCGCTTGCGGCGGGCCTTAGGGTCCAAGAAACCTCCAGTTCGGTAGGACGGGACGCTGAACTCACCGCCCCAGGTGAAGCCGGGCTTGAAGGAGCTTCCCTCACCCTTGGCAACCAACTCCTGCAAAGCTCCAACGAGAGGCACTCCCCTTTGCACTGCGCACCCTCGAGAATAGGGACCTTGACCGTGAAGAGGAAGGGCACGTACTCACCATCGGGGAGCTTCACGGTGGTGGCCGCGAAGTCCATGCCATCCTGCTCCTGCAAAGGGCAAACCCTCATTGCAGCGCTCAAGACATGGCGAGCTCCAACGAAGTTCGCGCGTGTCAGTCTCGCCTTGAAGGTGATGGGGTTTGCGTCCAGAGAGCCCTCGATGAAGGCCAGGGTGTACGTCTGGCGGGTGGTGAGCTTGGTGGTGGCAAACTCCTGCATGTTTGCGAAAGGCTTTCAATGAGCAAAGCTTTGCTCAGCCTGCTAAGTCTGTTGCGCTCAACAATCCGTCCTTGCCCTTGTCAGTCTCGAACTCAACGGCGAAGGACTTCGGCTCGAAGCAGACGTTCGTGAGGCGGGAACCTGCGCAGCTTGTCGCATCAGACATGTGAGAGTGAAATAGAAATGGCTGTGTGCGGCTGTGGGGCCTGCTGTCACAGGCACCTCAGAGCCGTTGGACTCCACGGTGGGGCAGCGATTGGCGAGGCCGCTGCCTTTCACCTGCGCGTAGGTGAGCTGGCCTCGGGCAAGTGTTTGTAGTGCGCGTGCAGGCTTCAGTTCTGTAGTAGCACATCCGGTGCCCACGCACGACACGCGAAGCCAAAGTCCGCCTGTCGTTCTAGCTTTTGCTTTTGCCTTGCCGAGCAACTGAACTGCTCGGCCGTGATTGCCTTGGCTGGCGACGCCGCCACTCCCAGCAAGACGCCTCGGTTCCACAGTTCAGAGCAGTGACTTTGATGGCTGTGGCTTGGAAAGAAAAGAACATCTTTGAGGGAAGCGGCCCAAGGCCGCGCCGATGCTCAGCAGTGGGGCAGCCTCGGCTGAAGAAGTGGCGACACAGGGCGGTACCGATTGTGCTGCTGATCCGAGCGGCCCAAGCGAAGCCCTCTGCCGGCGCCTTCCATGCCGATAGCATATTTCAGGCTAAACTTTAAACCACCACATCTGGGCCTCCTGTGCAGGGCCGGCAGCCGAGGTCTGTGGCGCACGGGGGGTCTGGTGGGCTGCGGGAGGCCCGGTCAAAAAGCAGCTGCCTCCCGTCTCAGGATCTCTCAGAGCTCATACATGTTCGTGGAGCCTGGCCTAGCACTGCCGTAGCGACGAAGACGGCGGCACAGACCTGTCATGCGAGGCACTGAGAGAGAACTGCGAGCCCTCCTTGCTGAGGAGCGGCAGGGTAGGAGCGCGCCATGACTGACAAGAGCAGGCTGGAAGGGCACTAAAGCAAAAATCCTGTGTGGGCCAACAGGCGGATTGCAGCTTCTGACAAAGATTCCAGTCTTCCCTCTGCTGACAGACGACATTCTGGGATGAGCCTTTTTGCCAGGCCACATGGCTCAAACGGACACAACATGTCCACGGACGAATTCGGGCAGACAAGTCGTCCAACGTAAATTAATAAAGGCCCTTCCGTCGTCGATTAGGATAGCGGCTTCTGCTCTGTCAAGTGGCCCTTTCTGCGACTGCAGCTCGAGCTCACGTGAAACGAGTCGCATGCTTCACGGCGCTGAGAAGGGTGCAGGAAACAAGCTTCGAGGGCCGGAATGGGCTTTGTACCCCTCATGTGCATTTCGCCCCTCACTTCTACAGCTTGCTACATAAAACTAAAACACTACAAAGCTGTGTGTTGGCGCAGTCCACATGGGATCATCTCCAAGGTGGCGAAACAGCGACCTTAGAGGCTTAGGACTTCATGCTGAAAGCTTCGGCAGCAACATGCAGCAACGCGAACCTGCTCAACTGTACAGTGCGGCATGCAGCCCCATCTGGCACTGTTGTCGCTTCCGCGTGGTTTTGAAAACCTTCTCAAAACTTACAGGTCTCACAAGCAGACTGCCAAGGTTCTGAGCAGCCCGTCGATTCATTGCAGGTTGCGGTGCGCACAGCCATCCAGAGTGTGGGAAAACTGAAGGACTGGCGTTCTGCACACCACTCAAGGGCACAGCCTGCGGATTGCCCGCAATTCATCTCAAAGGTTGACGCGTGACACAAGGACCGTATTTTTCAGATGAGACGGTGAAAGTCTGTGGGAGATCCGCGCTCTTGGCTATGCTCTGCACGACACTTCGTCATCGCGAGTGTCAGCTCCACTGACAATCTCGAAGGTCTTGACCAAACATGTCCAAGCCTTCAAATTCAGAGCCTCCAGGATTCTTCGGCGGTGCTTGGCACCAGAGTCGTCCGATTCAGATCGAGCTTTCAGCTCAGAAATGGTGAGAGTAGATCATTTGCCTCAGATCAAAACCGTTAGCATGTTAGCATGTTTGATTTCATAGCTCTCTGCTCAAGGAAACCAGAGGACTCATAACTCGTAACTGAGCCGGGTGCTCATACGTCGGGAACGGATACCTCAGCACTGGTGCACCGGCCGAAAGAAACAACCACAAGTGCCTCAAAGATCCATTCGACCCCCTAGTTGAGCGCACCAGTTGCCCGCGAAAACTACGTGACTTGAAGCGGATAACAGCGACATGCAGGCACGAGTCACTGGGTCCCGGGTTCTCACAAAATCTTACTGTGATCTGCTCGGTTGCGGTCAAGGCACAAGCTAGCTTCGATCATGGTTTCTGCCTTGTCCACCTCGGAGAGACATTGTCAGTGTGCAGACGATTCGCTTCACGATCGAAAGCTGAAAGCTAAACTTCTGCAGAGGCAGACGAGTTGCTGCCGCTCGCAAAGCCGCCATCTGCGCCCTTCCGAAAGGCTGGGTCTGCTTGGCAGAATTAAATCGCTTGACTGGACCCCCTGGTATGAAATACAGGGGCATCGAGAACCTGCACCTCAAACTCGAAGCCCTCTTGCTGTCAGGGCAGGCACTCACTTCAGTCCTAAAACAATGAGGCGAAGAAGCGTGGCATTAAACGAAGTAGGGCTGGGTTGAGGGTCTGACAACGAGGACTCTACCGAGGCGAATGTAAGTGGAGGGTGTGACAAGGCCGAGGGCGCTGAACATCCCAGAACCTGGTAAGATCCTGGGCTCCCGGCTTAACAGTGTCGCAGAGGTAGGTGGCCTCTTCCGCGAGAGAAGTGTGGGGCTTGGCCTTGTAGACAGCCTCGGAAGCTTCAGGGCTGGCAATGTGGAATCGCCAGTCTCAATAAGCCTGCTCGGACCTGCTAGGCTGCTAGGACCGGAAGGGATGTAACACTTTTGAAAACGAGTGCCTGCAACTTCTCGACCTGGTCCACAACGTTCTCGTAGACGGTCTTCCTGCTACCAGTCAGCTTGTCCACGCCCTTGTACTTGTCCAGGTCCTGCGCTCTGGCTCAAGTTATCTAAGAGTGTTTTCGTGTCCTGTCCGAAGCGTAGTACACGAAGCGCGTGTGCGCTCGCGCTTCGGAGGCCTGTAGGCATTGAGGCTTTCGAGCCACCCCAGCCCCTGACGAGATAGGCTCTAGGCTCCTTGGCGCACGCAGGAAGAAAGCCGGTCTCGACCATCTGAATCATGGTTTCCACCTCGCAGCCTCATCCGCAGAAGGCAACAAAACACTCCGACGGTGCCCAGTCTTTCGCATCAAGTCTTTCGCATCGAGCAGAAGTGCTCCTGAGACCGCGGCAAATGCAGGAGATGTAGTTCTCGTACATCACTTCCTGTCGTGCCTCTGTCTCCTCCTTGGTGTAGATCTTCAGGGTCTCGAGAAGCTTGGTGTTCTTCTCGGAGCTCCACGTGGCAATGGCCTTGGGCGTGGTGTTCAAGTTCGGCAAGCCTCGCTTGCTTGCCTCCACGGGCCGCTCTGCTGAGTAACCATTGCCGGTGAAAATCACATGCTTGTTCTCCTTAAACACTTGAGCCACGGCATCACGATGGCTCATGCCGCCCTCGATGAGGGAAGCCATGTGTGACATTCCAGCAGACATGACCGCGTTGCAGACCATGATCGGAAGGCAGCAGTTCTGGGAAGAGCCCACCGCACGGAACTCAAAGCGGTTGCCACAGAACGGGAACGGGGCTGTGCGGTTGCGGTCTTCGACGTTGGCCTCGATGTGCATGGCAGAGCTGCAGCCCGTCTCCTGCTTCTTCTTCTCGGCCTTGTATCCTGTTCAGTTCAAGACTTTCCAATCCGTGCAGCGAAAGCAGCTCAGCTTGTCTTGCTGTGCGAGACAAATTTTGCATGCACTGGGAAGCCACGCACACAAACATACAACTCGCAACTCCTGGCAGGCAGAAGTTGTTGCTGAGAATTTCGCTGTTTTTCTGATATCTTGAGCCCCGGACCCAGAAGATCGCCGCCGCTGACCACGGAATCCACGAAGGACTCGAAGCCCTGGCCCGGGTACAAAGAGATGATGGCCGGGGGCGCTTCTTGCGCTCCCAAGCGGTGGTCATTGCCAGCGCTGGCCACGGTGCACCGCACCATCTCCTCGGGTCAGTCTGGCAGCAAGACAACGGACAATGGCTGTCAATGCATCCGCAAACGGCGAGGGTACCACTAGTCGCTGGCATCCAGAGTCACCACAGCTGTGTATACAAACTATATTACGTAACAAATTGCTGGAAAAAAGTAAGACATACGAACCAAGTTTCGTTGTACTGCGCCAACCCATATGCCAAGCAGGCAATGGCAGTCACGTACAGCTTGGCCCCATCTTCGTTCTTTCCCGGATAGAAGAAATTCAGGCCGGTGTCAGTTCCGATGGACCAGTTGGCGTGCTTGCCGCTGCCGTTGATGCCGGCAAAGGGCTTTTCATGGAAAAGAACCTGCAGGCCGAGCTTCGCGGCTTCCCGGTTCATCACCTCCATGAAGCAGACGTTGCTGTCGCAAGACACGTTCGCAGTACGGAAGACGGGGGACATCTCGTGTTGTCCAGGTGCCACCTCGTTGTGCTTCACGGCCATGGGGCAACCGATCTTCAACATCTCGGCCTGCGCAACATCGAGAAGCTCCTGCACCTTGCCGGGGATCGCCTGGAAGTAATTTAGGTCTCCTTGTTGGTGCCGAGTGGGCAGCTTCCCAAACAGTGTCCGGCCACAGTTCACCAGGTCAGGGCGCGCTTTGAAGTGATCCGCCGACAGCACGAAGAACTCCTGCTCCCAACCCAGGTAGCTGTGCATTGTCTGAGCATCCTTGCCAATGCCGATAGCCTGCAGCAAGCGAAGGCCGTGGGTCTTGACAGCATCCATCGACCGCAGCAATGGCGTCTTCTCATCGATGCACTTCCCGAAGTGGGTAATGAAAGCGCATGGAATATACAGGCAGCAATCCATCACAAAAGGTGGGGATGATCTATCCCAAGTGGTGAAAGCGGCTGCAGAGTGCGTTACACGCAGCCCGCCATTGGGAAAGGAGGAGCCATCCGTCTCTCCTTGGAAGAGACGCTCGTGAGGCAGGCAAGCCTTCATCGGCTTCGTCGTGAACTGGGAGCCGAACTCCAGGTCCATCAATGTGTCCTTCTTGAAGGCACCTAACATTCCGCCAACGGCACCGCCACCGCCTTGGATCGGTATGACCCTCCACACACAGCTAACTTGCAGGCAGGCAGCTCTCCACCTATCTGCGCCCGTACAAGGCGGACGGATCCGTGGTTTACGCCAAGCTGCCGCGAAGAGGGAAGAACCAGTGGGCAAAGTCTATGGCCCCTCTCTCCCGGGCCCACTCGAAAATCGATTCCGAGATGACCTTCTGATCCTCCTGCGAAGGAAGGTCTCCATTGCACAGCTCTCACGAGACAAACTTTTACACCGCACCCTGTTAGGCATGCGGGCGCCTCTGTTGTAGGAGCGCCTGTGATCAAGCACTCGTTGAAGCGCTGAACGACTGCGGCAGGCAGCTTCGCAGCCATCACTGCATCGTCGAACATGCATGTCCCTGCGGCCGTCAGGGCATCAGCGGACATGGCTGTAGTAGCAGTGCTCTTGCTACCACTGCCCGCAATTGAACCTAATGGCTGAATGTCAGGGAAAATGCGGGAGAGCTTTGACACCCTTGGACACACGAACACGTACAGCACTCCTTTGAATCTGCAGATTCCGAGAATGCATCATCTGGGGGCCTTGCCCTCCTCGGGCCAGTGCGCTGCCTGCTGATGCAGGTCGAACTTCTTGCATGTTGTGGGAGAGCTGCAGGACTGAACACATGTAGAAAGTGCGAGCCATAGTGAGGAAAGCGAGGCAAGATGCAAGTGCAAAGTCAGCATGCAAATGCCCGATACAATGTTGAAGACCTACTTACACCTGAACGGCAAGGAAGGAGGAACGTCCACTGACCGCAAAACCCAAACCAGCCTCAAATCACACTTCAGACTTTAGACTGTGCGAGCTCAATGAGTACACGGTCAACGACTTGTCAGCGATTCGACACGAAGCCGAGACCATGCACACCTCTGCGCTTATTTTCAGCTGCCTGTCTGCTGGGCGGTTCCTTGGCGCTTCAAGCAGTTCATCGCGACTCTTCAAGTCACCAAAATTCCATCGAGTGATGCACTGTAAAATCAATTGGAAAAGAAGCTTCGGCTCCACATTCCTCCACCTTAGAAGTGGTGAGAGTAGATCATGGCCTCGTAGGTGGGATAAGGGTAGAGAGACGACTCCATCATACTCTCCGCCATCCACCTTGGCACGGAGTGCCACCATCTGCGGCTTCACGGTGTCGCACAGGTAGGTGGCCTCCTCTGCCAGAGAGCTGTGGGGCTTGGCTGCGATCAGGGATTTCAACTTCTCCGATTCGTCGACGATGCTGTCGTACACGGTTTTTCGGCTGCCGGCGAGCTTGTCGAAGCCCTTGAACTTCTCCAGATCCTTGGCGCAGGCTGGGAGGAAGCCCGTCTCCACCATCTGGATCATGGTCTCAACCTCACAGCACATGCAGGAGATGTAGTTCTCGTACATCACTTCCTGGCGTGCCTCTGTCTCCTCCTTGGTGTAGATCTTCAGGGTCTCGAGAAGCTTGGTGTTCTTCTCGGAGCTCCAGGTGGCAATGGCCTTGGGTGTGGTGTTCAAGTTCGGCAGGCCTCGCTTGCTTGCCTCCACGGGCCACTCTGCTGAGTAACCATTGCCGGTGAAGATCACATGCTTGTTCTCAGTGTAGATCTTGGCCACGGCATCACGATGGCTCATGCCACCCTCAATGAGGCTAGACAGGTGCGCCATGCCCGCCGACATGATCGCGTTGCAAACCATGATCGGGAGGCAGCAGTTCTGGGAGGAGCCCACAGCACGGAACTCGAAGCGATTGCCACAGAAGGGGAACGGGGCCGTGCGGTTGCGGTCCTCGACGTTGGCCTCAATGTGCATAGCAGCGCTGCAGCCCGTCTCCTGCTTCTTCTTCTCAGCCTTGTATCCGAGGAGGTCGCCTCCAGAGCAGATGCTCTCCACGAAAGCCTCGAAGCCCTGACCAGGGTACAGAGAAATGATGGCTGGAGGAGCCTCCTGCGCACCGAGGCGGTGGTCGTTGCCGGCGCTTGCCACGGTGCAACGCACCATCTCGTTGTACCTTGGCCGACAGGAAGGTCGGATTGAGCCTAAGCGTGCCTAAACCACTCGGCCCATTACGGGACGAAGCCCGTCGCATTTTAGTGGCTCCCTGAAGCTGTCGAAGTAACAGAACAGACGGAATCAGCATGCCAATTTTTTGCAGAGTTCAAAGAGATATGGACATCCAAGATACTGTGCAAGGCCATAGGACAGGCAGGCAATGGCGGTGACGTAGAGCTTAACTCCGGCCTCGTTCTTGCCTGGGTAGAAGAAGTTCAAGCCCGTGTCGGTGCCGACGGACCAGTTGGCGTGCTTGCCACTGCCGTTGATGCCGGCAAAGGGCTTTTCATGGAAAAGAACCTGCAGGCCGAGCTTCGCGGCTTCCCGGTTCATGACCTCCATGAAGCAGACGTTGCTGTCGCAGGACACGTTCGCAGTACGGAAGACGGGGGACATCTCGTGTTGTCCAGGTGCCACCTCGTTGTGCTTCACAGCCATGGGGCAACCGATCTTCAACATCTCGGCTTGCACAACATCGAGAAGCTCCTGCACCTTGCCGGGGATCGCCTGGAAGTAGTTCAAGTCTCCCTGCTGGTGGCGGGTGGGCAGCTTGCCGAAGAGCGTGCGGCCGGTGTTCACCAAGTCGGGGCGTGCCTTGTAGTGGGCGGCGCTCAGCACGAAGAACTCCTGCTCCCATCCCAGGTAGCTGAACATGCACTTGGCATCGGTACCGATTCCAATGTTCTTCAAGAGACGCAAGCCGTGGAGGGTCACTGCATCCATGGATCGCAACAAGGGCGTCTTCTCATCGATGCACTTTCCGAAATGCGTCACGAAGGCACACGGGATGTACAGGCACTTGTCCATCACGAAAGGCGGCGAAGACCGGTCCCAGGTGGTGAAAGCGGCTGCGGAGTGGGTCACTCGCAGGCCTCCGTTCGGAAAAGAGGAGCCGTCCGTCTCGCCCTGGAAAAGCCGCTCCGCTGGCAAGCAGGCCTTCATGGGCTTCGTGGTGTACTTGGAACCGAACTCCAGGTCCATGAGGGTGTCCTTCTTGAAGGCCCCGAGCATGCCACCGACGGCGCCACCTCCACCTCGCAGTGGGAAGAACCAGTGCGCGAAATCGATCGCGCCGCGCTCGCGAGCCCAGGCAAACATCGTATCAGCTATGATCTTCATGTCATCCTGCCACGGAAGAAAGACAAGGAAGATAGGCGCGACAGGATGCCTATGTCCTAGACCTTAGCATACTGTGGCCGCTACCTGCACAACATGCAAAACCTGCCCGGTACGATCCGAAACTCGTACAACCTTTTTGAAAGTTTTGCCTAAGGAACAGAGATCAACAACCGCACCCCGTATCGCGCCCCAGGCAGTTGGAAAACCCAAACGAGAAGCCAACCCCAAAAATTCTTGGGAATAAACAACTGTCTTTTTGGCCGCTGTCGTCCTCCGGAGTTGGCGCACCGCTCACCAGGCACTCGTTGAAGCGCTGCACGACGGCAGCTGGGAGCTTAGCCGCCATGACCGCGTCGTCGAACATGCAGGTGCCCATCGTAGTGAGCGCATCGGAAGCCATGGTGCACAAAATGCGGGCGGACCACCAGAGATTAGCCTTGTGGAGCTCGAGCCGATACTCTGCAGGCCACGGCGCTAAACTCGAAGCAACCGCAAGTCACTGCTCTTGACAGCTGGGCCTATAGCAGTGATGGTACACCGATGTTTGCAAAACATGCTGACAGACTCTTGCGCTCCACAGTTGCGCCTTCTGCCGAAGAGAGGCATCGTAGTAAGACAGCACCATGATTCGTGACTGACAACGGCAGGCTGGAAGGGCACTGAAGTCAAAATCCGGCGCGGGCCAGCAGTCATGCGATTGCTGATTGACAGCATCACTGCTTCACGAAATCGTGCCCCGTGTTTCGGTGGGATGCAGATCGACATCAGGATAGGTCGAGTTGCAAGAAATCATGGAACGAGGAAAGCACATGCAGCCACCATCAACAGCGGCCAGCCTTTTTGCCAGGCCACGTCTGTCAAACGGTCGCAACATGCAATCCACAAAGTGTTCACTAATTCGGGAGGAAACATGAAAGGCCTGCCGACCGGCTGGCGGGTTTTAGAAGTTGTGGGATCGCTTTTGTTCTAAGGGTATCCTAGCTCGAGCTCCAAAGTGTGAGACAAATCGCGTGCATTCGCGAGGGGTGCAGCAAGCAATCTCGAAGCCTAGTCCCCGACCGACATTGGACCCCTCGCGTAGATTCTACATGGGGAGTTCCTTTTGCCCCCGACTCCTACAGCCTACTGAAGGAAAAACCCGCAAACTACCATCGTGAGCCGCGGCATCGAGCACGACCTCTAACCGAGGCTGTGAATCGGCGGCGGCGCTGGGATGTCCAAGCGCGAGTGGCACAAAGGACAGTTCCGCAGTTTGCGGACCTCCGGAAGAACGTATGCGGCGAAGCACAGGTTCGACGCTACGCAAGCCACCGCAAAGCCCATGCCTCCGAGGTGTACATGCGATGTCGGCAGACGCGGCATTTGATGGTCTCATTCGAGGGACCTTCCAGAGGAAAGATAACCCGGAATGAGACAGGCAAACTCGGTTCTGTGCAACACGAGGCGGGTGGAAACCTTTCGACAGGCCCTCGGAGTCGACTCCACCCCGGCCCGGCCTGCACCGGGTGGATACTGCCCCGAGTTGCCGCCCCGGTCCTCTCGATGGATTTTGCTATTGCTGGCAGTTGCTGGCATGAAGATTGGTGAACTCGCGGAGGAGAACAAGAGGCTCTGGTCAGATGCCTTAATTACTTCTACAAGAGGCCTCAAAAGCATCGGAATGCACTCCTCAGGATAAAGGGACCCTGGAAAGATGGACCGCCCGGAGGCCACGCAGAAGGCGAGCCGATGATTGCAGCTGGGGCCTTGGCGCGTTCGAGGCATAAAACGAAGGATGCAGATTGACTGCAAAGGTGGCACGCCCAGTGTTGCTCTCTCCCTGCGCCTAGGCCTAGCACCTCTCCTCCCCTGCGCTTCAACCACAAGAAGCTCGGCAGCTCTCTTTGGCCAAATTGCCGCCATAGTCGCGGATTCTTCGGTCACAAGAGGTTATTTCGTCTCTTTAGTGTTTGGCACTGCTAGGGGCCGCCAGGGCATGGAGAACAGCAGCATCGTTCCACTCTCGGAATTGACTGTTCCGCTTTTCGTGACTGCATTGCGCGGCTTCAAAATGCCAGAAAGTATCGCACCCATGGGAATCGTGCACTATTGCACAGTATCCCACAAAACATGCACGACAAATCTTCCAAAGCATTGAAGCAGCAATCACGGCCGGGGATTGGACTTCCATTGAACCCTCACCAGATGCCTTTACACAGAAAGGCACGGCATCCTTCTGAAGTTTGACAAGATGGTGCCGACATCCGCATCTTCAGGTTCTGCGGTAGGCGTGGTGGAGGATCTGTGAAGTTGCACAGCAGGAATCCTCCGTCAGCACTCCTGAGATTCGGTCGTCTGCGTAGTCGCGGATGCGCCTCTTGACACACACCCCGCAGCAGCTTGTGGCCAACTTCCACCCTTTCTAGCAGCAGTGAGCAAGATATCCTCCGGGCCAACCTGAGTCGCTACCAAAAATGAAGCTCATCATCGGCATCGCCCAGGTAGATGTATGGCAGTTCGCACCCGTCTTCGAACTCTGTCTCATAGAGCCTGCTCGCCACAGTTGTGCGTCCTGCAGCCTCAAATACCCCAACTCCTGCCTGACATGATCTTCCAAAACGAAGTTGCTTGGCATAAACCTTGCGGCCCGTCCTGCCAGACCGAATTCTGAAAAGCAGCTGCTTGTTATCAAGTGTACCACTAGTGTACCTGTTGTCGTTGGACGCTGCGCACATTCGTGCTCCTCGGGATCTTCGCTTGACGATGACGATCTTGTCCTGCTCAAGACAACGCTGGGGCAGTGTGTTCGCATGGCTAGCTGCTCGCTGCTGAAGGACACGCGTGTGCGTGCGGTCCAGTCGAAGCAGTGGCAGCCGCGTGCACATCCACTTCCTCAGCCCGCATAGTGTCTTGAACCACTGCGGATCAGTAGATCCTGCATCCACTCTATGACTCTGTGCGGCTTGTCAGAACAGACCTGCAGCCTTCACCGCCAAGGAGCTTGATGCCTTGAATGGTATAGGTTGGCTTCAAGCACAAGTCGTGAAGCTCATCATCCTTTCAGGTGCACCGGGATGTCCGGACTCCGCACCCTCACATCGAGAGCCGGACATCGAAGGGATTCTTGAAGTGCATCACGATCGCGTCCCCTTCGTCCGGAAGCTTCTCTTCCAGCAGCGGTCCTGCCTGCAACGATTCCGAAGGAAGGCTTAGCCGCGAAAAGAAGCTGTGCGGTTGTGGTCCCCTTGCCTTTCCAAATCCGGGCCCTTCCACCAGCCTCGGTCCCGGGCGATGGCAGGGATGGTTCTACTCCTCTCTTGGAGAACTCAGCTCCTTGCACCCAGCCTGGCTTTTGGAAGCAGGGGTCCAGCTCCACCCAATAACCGCCTCACAAGTGATGCCAACAGCGGCTGACAGTTCGTGCAGCCATCTCTGAATACCAACACACACCAATGCACCTGCAGGTCCGACCCAACTTCGCCCGGTCGTCTTGACTTTGGACCCAACCTTTCTTTCCAATCGAACCTGGGACACTGGCAGCACAGGATGAGCACGGGAACAAACGAAGGACGCTCAACTTGGGCATTTGGGTCCCGGCTATCACGTTCGAGGGACCTGGTTCTGAACCTTTCCTGAGGTGAGAACAGCATCCGCGAAGTCTTGACTACATCTACACCATGTGAACAAATGTGAACAGTTCGAGTGAGGCGGGTCTCGCTGATGCACGCGCTTTGAATTCGTGCACCGCAAGTGTGAAATGCTGCACTCTCAAACTGAGGTGATGTCGCCTTGAAGAGCACGCCTCGGCTGTTTTGGGGTCAGCATGCTGGCTGTTCTCCAGCCGCCGGTCATCAGTGACTGGTCCAAATTCTTGAGGCGGCGCCTTGCATGACATAATACTCGACGGTCGGGTTCGTGATCACCAGGGTGAGCTCATCTCCAGATTGAACCGCGGCACTCTCCAGGGTAGCTTGAATGGGAAGTATCGTACCTCGACTGTCTCTCTGGTTACGACACTGCTCAGACTCCGACCCTATGGTTGGGATGCAAAGAAGAAACTTTTCTGCCTTCCTGCCCTGAAGTGTCGGGGTCTTTCAGGTCTTCAAAACCCCTTCGTAGGAACTTTGTACGTACCATGCGGAATCCGTTCCGCCTAGTTCCGCCTCCTTGCAACATGCAATACAGTTGTCCTCGACATTACGGTAACGATGCGAGCCTTTGAGGAGCAGCCGCTGTGCGCGAGGTGCCACATCCAGCGCCGCTTCGATGAGGTTCTGAAGCTCCTGAGAAGAAAGTTGATGAGATGCGCAAGGCAGAAGTGACGGCGTTCAACCTTCCCGAAGCAGACCGAATTCTTTGTGCGCAGCATGTCTGCTCTGTCCTGGATTGTGTTGCCAGAGTCCAGCTCGGGCGTAAGCAATGTTGCGCCACTCAGCGACAGGATTGAAACCTTCCTGGAGCCCATGGCAGTCTAACAGAGGCATTCCCGATCGCCTCACGTTCAACTACTCGCGAAAAACAGCCCATTCTTTTTATTGATGCTTGGACGGCTTGATTGTAAAGCACGCGAAGTGCACAAGCACTGGTTTGCTCGTTCCACTTTCACACGAACTCCTTGCTTTGAACCAACGACTGCACCCACTCTCACTCACACAAGCGTATGCCACTGCGACCCTAAGAAAAGGTGCAGTCCCTCAGGCCCGAACAGCTAACTGACGAGTCCGGGATCCGCGTGTGGCATTTTGGGCAGGGCAACAGCGTCCCATTCACAGGATCCTGCTGGATTTCTTCAATTTCAAGTTCTCATTGGATGTGGTACGAGTACGGTGTACTCAAGGCCCCGTCCTTGGGCGTGCTCCTGGTAAAAATGCTGAGGGCGAGGTCCGAGAACTTGGCGCGCATCTCGTCGCTGATGTCCCCGGAGGCCTCAAATAATAGGTCGCGCGCCACGAGCTCTCGGGTTCTCATCTTTCCAGGTTCTCATCTTCCCGGCCTCCAGCTTGATGAATGCCTTTGAGCATTGCATGTAGTACTTGTTGTAGTACGTGGTGAGCGCCTGGGACGAGGGCAGTCTTGACAAGCTCGTGCCTAATTCGTCCCCACGAGTTTCAAGCTTCAGCCAGGGCCCTCACTATCAGAGAGTAGATGGTCTGCGTGTCGAGGATGTCCTGGAACCATTCTGCAGACAAGGCCTCTGAACGATCTTGCAGGTCCCTCTGGTCCTCATATTCGGCGAGACGCAGCGAAGTCTTCATGGCCTGCACGAACAGTGCGGGATTGCAGGACATGTAGCACATTTAGGACACACTGGGTTCCGCCCTGCAGAACCCCAGGAAATAGATCGCAGCTTGCCAAGAATGAACGCTCCGAGGCTCAGCGAAAAGCAGAAACGACGGGCTGCGTCATTACATTGAATGTCCCGCACATGCCCCTCGAATGCAACACACCAAGGGCGAGCCGATGTCAACTTCAAAACGACACAAGTGCGTGCGAGGCAGGACGCACATCCTACTTCAAGCCAGAACCGCGGACTTGCGATAAGGCAGTTCAACTGACACAAGCCATGTGGCCAAAGCAAACAATGCGACAAAGCGGATGTGAAGAACAAGCTCTTCACGGAATCTTCGGTGAAATCTGTCACATTCTCATCATGCCGAACGTAGTCTGTAAGGATCGGGAGATGCTTCCATCTATCTGTGCCTCTGACAAATGCCTCGAATGTAATCACAGATTTCGTGCAAAGCACTCAAGCTCGTCATCTGGTGTCTTCACAGGCCGGCATCATGTTTGCTAAACACCGGGCCCAATGACGGTTCACAGCACCCAATACAATCACAAATCTGCATGGCTTCGCGAAGCCTCAAATGTGCAAGCTTCACACATCAAGCTCAAGTGACGCACGGAAAAGTCCAACTCAGCCTCTGACAAATGCCTCGATCGTAATCATGAGCTTTGTGCACAGCACTCAGGCTCGTCATCTTGTGTCATCACAGGCATGCACAACTCAAAGACGTGTCTGTCTACATGCGAGGTCGACCACGGTGGCGGTCAGCTTTGGTAAGCAGATGTGAAGAACAAGCTCTACACGGAATCTTCGGTGAAATCTTTCACATTCTCATCATGCCGAACGTAGTCTGTAAGGATCGGGAGATGCTTCCATCTATCTGTGCCTCTGACAAATGCCTCGAATGTAATCACAGATTTCGTGCAAAGCACTCAGGCTCGCCATCTGGTGTCTTCACAGGCCGGCATCATGTTTGCTAAACACCGGGTCCAGTGACGATTCACAGCGCCCAATGCAATCACAAATCTGCATGGCTTGCTTCACACATCAAGCACAAGTGACGCACGGAAAAGTCCAGCACAGCCTCTGACAAAAGCCTCGATCGTAATCATAAGCTTTGTGCGCCGAAAGCTCAGGCTCGTCATCTTGTGGCATCACCACATACAGGTCACACGAAGCCCGCAAGCACCGCCAAAGGGCCGAATAAGGTCCCATATGCGTTCGTCCGGTGCATGGCAGTCATGTCTGGCACGATGCAAACCTAGTTCTTTGTTCGTTCATCGGGTCTTTCGCTTTCAGCCATGGCCTGCTCAAACTGGCCCTCGTACAGTTGTCGTTGCGAGAGCAGGTAGATGTGGAAGGCCTGATGGAAGAGGCTGCGCAACTTACAACAAAGGCTTTGGTTGGGTATGCTGCAGTTTAAGCAGCAACAACCTTATCACCAGCATCATCACCTTCATCACCGCCATCATTGTTTGGGCTTCATCACCATCTCTACACGTCCCCGAGGCCATGATAACGGCAAGCACCCTCATCATTATCAACATCACCACGATCATCATCGTCACATGCTTGTATTATACTCTGTCTCGTTCATGCAGTATACGCTATGATCTTGATCACGACTCCTGGTCATGTTGATGATACAGGTCAGGGTCACAGTTTGTCGAGGTCGTGATGAAGATCAAAACGTACGAGTGCTCTCGTAAGAATAGCATCAGCAGTGAGAGTGGAATAAAGATGTAGATGTGGTCATGATGGTGAGGAGGGGAGGAGGCGGGAAGGAAGAGGAGGATGCTGACAATTATCATTATCACTGCCCGCATCCTCGTCATTATCATGCCAGGGTTGTTACTGCTTTCGCCGTGGCGGCTATGCTTTTTTATTGTAATTGCCATCTTCGTCACCATGATAACAGCACTTTTCTCGTTCTTCAATATGGTTGCTGTTGAAGTGTTAAATTCCTGTTCGTCAACAATGCCGCAACAATACCGAAACCGATGATACCGATGACGACGACGACGATGACGATGACGATGATGGTGATGATGATGATGATTATGGTCACCGTGACGATGATGATGACGACAACCTTGACATTTTTCAACCCTGCCGCCATCTGCCTCGCAACCACGCCAAGGGCTCTCCAACGCACGATCACTGGAGACGCTCTGGTCCTTCGGAATTGCTCACAATTTGCTTCAACTCAGTAACTCAGTGGAGGATCGGGGGCTGAGCTCAAAATCCATGTTTTGCTTTGGGCGCCTTCGGCGTTTTTGAGTCTTTGAGAACGACAAGTTTCACTGCATCGCATGTGTAGACCTTTTACGACTTGTCAATTTGGCCCACCTGCGTGACCAGCGACTGCAGTGTCTGTGCGGTCGTCATCGTGCCCTGAGTGGCACCTGGCAGTTGCGGCAGGCAACTGGAACTCTACGTAGTTCGACTCAAGTCACAAGTCAAATCAGAACGGTGAGCCTGTCATCTGGGCATCCAAAGTCTTGTTCTTGAACCTCGAGACCGGTCCCGAGACTGACAGGTCGTGCCACAGGAGCGAAGCAGTGGTCCGTTAGCATTTCACTCTAAATCTCACATCTGAAGGCCTACATTGCTAAGGGACGCGCTTCTCCACCTCCAAGGCTGCCAGCAAGTACAACCTCAGTGGTGAGCTTCTGACACATGCTCCGAATTTGATGTCCCTTTGTGCCGCTGCGTCTGCTTGAAAACATGCCTGGAAGCACGGCTGTTAATGTGCCAAGTTTTGCTGAGCCACTTCTTTATGCGGTCAGGATGTCGTTGAACACCACCTGCAACTGAATGAGCACCGGCAGAGATTGAAGGACAGAAGATTCTGCAAAGTGCACAGCTGCACGGCTAAAGCGTGCTGCAGTCACCCAACCCTGTTGACACCATGTCGTGCTCTCTACATAACTTTCATCTTCTGACAAAGCAGCTCTTTTCGTCTCGCATCACCACTTCGTGAAAACCGCTTTGAGCAGCGGCAGCAGGTCACGATGCTGGATGATGTCGTTGTGGGCGCATGGGAAGCTGTGCAACCTCTGGGGGCAAATCGTAAGTTTAGCATCTTATGGAGTCGAAACTAGACACGACGGGGAAGGATTCTCGGATACACGTGGAAACGGGTAAGATAAATGGCAGCCATGGCTCGGCACGTTGCCGATCTTGGAGAGCTCCCTGTCCCAACAGGGCCAGGCGATCCAGGCGGATGTAGTGCAAAACGATTGCGACAAGCTCTACACCCGACGTGCTAACCAAAATGGTACGATGGAGAGACCCTCTTGTTGAGTGATTTGGAAGCGCATCGCCCGGGTCCGTCGCCTTCGCCAGAGCAGGCTGCACGGAGCCGGGGACGCTTTCTGCATCCCGGCCCGTCGCCCGCCAGCGAGCGACGACCCATGAGTCTTTGGAGAAATAGCCGGAATGGCAGGGCACAGACAGAAACGCCGGGCGACGCAAAGCCAGCAACAGCTGTGGCATGTGCATCGAGGGCCCCGGGTTTGTCCTTTCACACGTATACTATTATACATGTGTTACACGACAAGCTCGACACCCGACGTACTAACCAAAATGGTACGACGGAGAGACCTCTTCTTGAGTGGTTTGGAAGCGCATCGCCCCGGTCCGTCGCCTTCGCCAGAGCAGGGCTGTACGGCGCCGGGGATGCTTTGTGCTTCCCACTCTGCGCCGGCAGCCCCTCACACCGCCAAGTTCACGAGTCAGTTTGCAGCATCGTTGACGGCGAAGTGGAGTTCCTTGACCGCGGGCGCCAGTGTCTGCAGGATGCCCATCACGGGCATGTCGACTCTGGTCCGCCCCATTCGCCGTGCCATCTCGAGTCGAGGTCTCCACGTGACACCGCGTCGGAGACGTTGCCCTTGCATGGCACGCGACGGAAGTCGGGGAGCCAATCTGCCAGCGCCGCTGTGTGGACCAGAAGGCCGCCAGGACGCCATTGACCGCGGGGTCTTTCCCATAACTCTGTGGTGAGGGCCCATTGGCCAGCGACGTTGTCGATGAACGCCAGCCATTTCTGATTCTGTGGGAGCACCTGCGCCGCAGGATCTCAAGCACGTAGATGAAGGCCTTTCTCGCCGAAAAGAAACCGGGGAAGTCCGCGGGCGCCGTGCCAGTCGTAGAAGACCTATAGGCACCGATCCGGACGACGCAGCCCCAGCATGCCCCAGACAATTCGCCCCCGTGTGCCAGGTTTGACCGGCACCTCCGCCACGTGGCCGATGTGCCTTGCGGCGCACCTCTCCGTGCTGGTGTCATGTGCGCTGGCATAGATGGGCTGCAGTCCGACTGTGTCACAAAGTTCAGTCGTCCCGCCAGTTGGTTGGCCGTGTGGCGCCCGCGGTCCTTGGCCAGGTGACGGATCGACACCAGCACGCCCTCATTATGTGCTCCTTGGCCGGCCTCTGGGCTTTCGACGGTTTCGTCTGCAGGCCCCAGTAAGTCCAGGAAACCTGCCATGCCGTCAAAGGCGCCGACGAAATGGTGGGTGGCACGTCGCTGGTGGAGTCGTGGCCGGCTCGACGCCTCTCCTCTGCGCACCGTCTTGGTGTCGCCGTTCTCGTCCTCCTGGAGGATGGGGAACAACGCCGCGGCAAAGCACTTTCCCGGCGGTGGCGCCACCAGGCGGTCCGCGCCGGGCACGTCCAGGAGAACCGCGGTCTTCATGTACCAGCCCGCCGGTCGATCATTCTGCCGAGGCGCGACTCCTCCACCAACTCTGCCAGCAGCTTTGTCGAGTGTTCGCCTGCTTTCGGCCGGGACGTGCGGTCCTTGACATACCGCCAGTTGGTGGCCGCCAGCGTCTCCAACGAGGCTTGTGTTGCGTACCTGCCGTCGGTGCGGGCCTTCCATCCACGGCCGTGCCGGTGCTCGCCCAACATCTCGCACCTCCGTGATGCCGGTCACGCCTGGGTATAGGACGAGGTGCAGGAGGTAGAGGACGAGGGTTATCTGTGTGTGTGGCGGGTCTTGCCCGGGACCATGTACGTCGACCGGACCGGCGCCGGCCGGGTCGTCAGCCACTCGCGAATGCGCCGGGCTTGTTCTTTCACACATTACATGTGTCACACAACATTACACAACAAAGACCATACCAAGCCTCCCTACCATTCTTGACAGCTCGGCTCTGCCAGGAGTGGTGCACTTGCGAAGGCCTGCCATGGCTGTGGGGAACCTTCCAGTCCTTCGTTCCGTGGAGAATGAGCACCTTAGCAGTCGGCACGGTTCGAAGAAGCACGTGAGAAGGGGGCGATGAAAGCCAGGCCAAAAACTGCGAGCCTTTAGGGGCGAGTCGGGGCGAGTGTCGAACGTGTGCTGATGGTCGAAACACAGGCGCGCTTGCGTTGTGCAGCTCGGAGAATCTCCGCACGCAAGTCGCAAAAGTAGTCTGAGGATACGATGCCACCACCAAGGGTTCGAGTGCCGAGTTGAGCGCTTTCAACCAAGCTGTGTTTGAAGCAAATATCCTGATGCTGCAGCGAGCATCATCAACATCATTTGGGGGACGTTGGCAGGGAAGAAAGCTGCGATAAAGCGCGAACTGGGCGGGGGCCAAGAGAGCGCAATAAGCTGGTTGGTTACTTGGTTGGGAATCAGAGGATCTTTGACGGAATATGGCGCAGCATCATGAGCATCAGTAAACGGGCAATGCCGGCAATGCCGCATTGAAATCAGAAAGGCTACAACTTCTGACGCCTCCGACTCTGGGCTCCGGCTCCCACAAAGGACTAACAGCGGAGGTGTGCGACACCCCATGACACTCAGTGCCATGTGGACTATCAAGTAACCGCGAAGCTGAGACTCAGACATTCGTTCCTGCAGCTACTTCGCAGATTCGGCCAGCGGAATTGAATTGGAGTCCGTGCCAACCCCGAACCCAAGCCTCCACACCTGGGCAAAATCTGTCGAAGTGGCGAAGCTCTGAGAGAACGAAGATTCGAACAAAGTGCCTTCTCGGAGACGTGGCCACGGCCGGCGAAGTGCCGCCTCAAGCAGCGACCCAGCCGCAGCCGCAAGAGAGAGGAACGGTGCCTGCAGCGCAAACTGGGGAGACTCATCAGCACATATCAGCAGATTCAGCACAAAAATCCTGGCCGCATGGCCTCCAGAATCACGCCTCCGAAGTGGAAGCCCTCTTTCAGCAAAGCTTCTGCAGATACCAATGCGATGCCAGTGCCCAGGCCTTCCGAGACCGCTTCAACCCCGAAAGTTCCAACTGTTCTTGCTGCCCTTCCCTGCTCATCTCATGACAGGCACGCGGTCTGCTTGCCACCAAGCATCTGTGGCCCCACAGGATGACCTCCCGGCAATCGCTCACGATCCAACGAGAGCAACTGCCTGAAACCGATCCACACGTCGGCCATCCCGGTCCAGGTCCTTGTCCCTCTCTGCTTGCGGCAATGACTGCAGGACAGCCCGGACATCCGCCACGACGCTGGCCTCCGATCTAGAACTGCAATGAACAAAGCGGCCCGTCATTTTGGAGATCAAAAGTCGCAGAAGAGCGGCAGGAAACGCTTCGGCGGCCACTTCGGTGTCACTTGACAGGAGAGTGTACCATGTGCGGGCCCACCTCTGAGGGCCAGCAGAAGTCGGAATAGCCACAGCTACAGTAGTCGATGGCGATCACCTGCACTACTGATGAACTCCGAAAATCAACCGCAGCGTCATCATGCTGGCTGTGTACCCAAGACCACGCGCCTCACATCCGAGTCGCGATGCAAGAAGCTTGTACAGCTCAGTCCGATGTTGCACAACCACGTTACCTGCCTGCCTCAGCTGTGTAACCTATGAGCACTTCACACTGATTCAGCTTTGCACAGAGGCGAGCTAGCAACTAGCAAACACTTGCAACTGACAGCCTGATGTACTCGTACCTGCTGAGCGTCCCGTGCAAGTACACCACAGTGTTTGCCTTCTCTGATGTTGGGGACAAGCGCAGCCCGCAAACCATGCCATTCTCGCTCGTGATGTTTAAAGGCAGTGCATTGTCAAGACCTGTTGACAGATGCTGCTGGTGTATGGGGCCGCACCACAAAGTTTCTTCCCAGCACCCTAAGCCCTAGACTCAGACTGTTTCAGCTTGCACCTTGAAATGGGCCGCTTGTTTCGGAGTTGAAGAGGCCCAGAAGCCGCGTAACCAGCTGCACCCAGAGTGGCGAGCGCCTGCAGATGAGCGCTTCTCTTCAATGCTTGAAACCGGACTTCCCGGCTCCCAACTGCAAGATACTGCAAGGCTGCTGCCTGGACAGGTCAGTCTTGTCATAAGGCGGCCAGTTGGCCACGAAGCCGAAGACGATGGCAGACTGCACGCCGGCAGACAACCATGTTGCCAGCACCTGCTTGGCAGCAAAGCGTGTCTTTTTAAATTTTCTTCCAGCCGCTGAGGTGGCTCTGAAGCTTCCTTAGGTAGCCTGCTGCCTTCTGCGGAACCACAGCCGACGCCTCATGTCTTGCCGAGCTGCAAGCAGAGGCGGCAGACTCACGATCCCGACAGCCAAGCCCAAGCACAGGCCAAGTACCATGTGTTGCTCAGGGGATGCAATTCTAGCCGCCGGCTGCTGAAACAAGCTTTGAGGGAGTGTAAGCGAAAAATCACCACTTCCGTGCCTTTTTGTTCATGTGCTTGATTCTATCAACATTGGCTGGAGTTTGCGAATGCAGCAAGCTGCTCCAAACTCAAGAAAAGCTGCAGAGGAAGTGCCATGATGTCTTGAAATCCTGGAACCTTTTCTTACCAACAGATGCCAGGATGGCACAATGTGCCAGTGCTTTTACTTTCTTTCCTGCGGCTTCCCGGCATGCACATGTGTGTGTGTGTGTCTCTGCGCATCTCTGCGGCAGACTTCTGGCATAGGCCTCAGTCGGGTGGGGTGAGAGCCAGGCCTGGCATCTCCCTGGCCATTTGGTTCAGCAGCTTCGCGGCCTAGAATCAGCTCGAGAATACCGGAGCTTACTGCATGGACTGCTACACTACGCTGCTTCACATTGGCAGAGTTCTTGGCTCAAGTCGTGGCGACCAAAACTGGGGTGGCAAAGACTTGGCCAAACTCGCAAGTGAAGGCCTCCGTGTGGCGGCTTGCCTTCCGGTAAAGCTGTACTGCCTGGCACGGCCACAGATTCCATTCTACCGGATGTCTTGGAATCTCCCCGATTTCAGCTCTTAGAGCGCCACAACCGAAAGCTTGAATTTCACCTATTCCCGACCGACAAACGCACCTGACACAGAGCCAGCAAGCCTCGATCTTCTTGTTTTTGTCAAGAAGATGCTGCGCGTACTTTGCCAGGAGACCTCTCAATGACTCAACCCAAAAAGGGAAGGCAAGCCTCATCCACACAAGAGGAACACATGGATCTGAAGAACTTGTCGGCTACATCCTCCTTTACGGTGCTTTCGTGCCAAGGCTCCTACGCTGGAACTTACTTAGTTATGCCGACAGGCTCGCTTTGCTTCAGACTCCGCTCACAGTTCCCCTCGCAACTGTTGCTCGGGCAGACCATGCACCGCAGGCGTAGAGGGTGCCGCTAGCGGTGGGAGTCAAAGGGGCCTTCGATCTGCTGGAAATTGTGCTGCTGCGCGAGGTTCACCGCCAGCTCCCATTGGTTCAGCAGGACACACCTTGGAGGCAAATACATCTAATGACTAATGACCGCTGTGGCAACTGAGCTCAGGATGGGATAGAGCAGGCTACTTGGAAAGTAGGGATAGAAGCAAGGAAGTAAAGCTGGAAGTCTGGAAGCTACACAAGACAGGAATTCGCTTCCAGCCTTCCAAAAATGGTAACCCTGCCTATTGCACATATACCATCATCTAAATTTACTAAATTACTACAGGGCCCAGGCGTGTCAACCGCCGTCTTGACGTCACCGTGCCGCAGATAGGCCTGGACGGCCTGGGCCACACGGTATTCCCCGGTTTAGGGTTTGGGTCAAGTTTAGGGTTTAAGGTTTAGGGTTTGGGATTTAGGGTTTAGGGTTTAGGAATATTCCCCAGGTCCTGCTCGCAGAGGCCCACGGAGCTGAACTTGTTGCCCACCTCCGTCAGCAGCGGGCTGCCTTCCGAAGCGTCGGAAACAGCTTTCAAGCCGGGAAAGCTGGCATCAGACTCAAGGCCTCAGGCCTTGGAACATGGGGAGCAGCGCGTGACCGAAAGGAAAAGATCAGGCTTTCGGACTACGAGCATGTCATACATGTGTATAAACACTTACAACATATTAATATACATCCATCCTTCCTTCCTTCATTCCTTCTTTCCGTTGTCCATCTATGAACACATCCATCGATCGAAATTCCCATCGATCCATCTATCTATGTGTGTGTGTGAATATATATATATATATATATATGTCTATCTACCTACCTATCTATCGACATAGCTGTAATATAGCTACCAATCTATCTGTCTGTCTGTCTATCTGTCGATCTGTCGACCTATCTATCTATCTAACTATGTGTCTACCTATTTGTCTGCCTTTCTGTCTATCTATCTACCTCCCTCCCTCTATCCCTCCCGCCCTACCTGCCTACCTAGTTATCTATGTATGGATCCACCGATCTATCTATCTGTTCATCGGTCGATGTTTCTATAGAACTACCTGGTCTATGGAACAATAGAACTATCATGCACTATCTATCTATCTATCTATCTATCTATCTATCTATCGATGCATCGATCTGGCGATCTATCGATCTTCCGACGTATCGACACATCGATCTATCGGGCCATCGATCCTGTCGATCTATCGGCCTATGATAGCTCGTTTATGGATCCGACGATCTATCGAGCGATCGGCGTGTCTATCTGTCCGTCAGTCTGTCTATCGATCTTTGGATCTATATCCGCTTCTGATTTGTTTTCCTGCGACAAGAAGTGCAGGAAGACCCTTTGTCGTTCTGTCTAGTACCTTACCCTTGTCGAACTCTCTTTATGTTGCCGATCTAGAGGGAATGCCACGTTAACATCGAGAAGCTCTCTCAAATCCAGAATTTTCCAGAATTTCAACTTCGGGGAGAACCCACGCACTTACGCAGACACAGGGCAGTGTTCCATTCCAGCCTTCCGGCAGCTGCGGAATGAGTCTCTCCAAGGAGTCATAATCCTATAGGCGAGCAGTTGCAAGCGCTCCCAGCTTTCGAGTACAGCATCCTGAAAAGATGAGATGTGGGTTGCACTGGGTCTTATGCCCGGGTCCTCCAAGAAATAGTAGGTGTCCACCAGAGCAGCGTTGTTTCCCGCCTGCATGCGGCGCTCTGAAAAGGTTTCTCGCAGTTCGTGCGCTCACCCCGCCTTGGCGTAGTAATTGGCCGCGTTGGGCCACCTCAGACCATCCAATTGACAAAGCGACACCCAGTGCTTTCCCAAAGAAATTTCTCTTTCTCTTCGAGTGACTTGCAACGGTCCGCGTAGTAGTCGCCGATAGCGCTCCATGCTTGGTGAAGCAGCTCCTGGCCAAATGATTCAGTAGGCTTAAGGGGCTGCACGAGCGGCAAGGCTACGTCCTCGTTGGCACCGTGCGCCAACTGAATGACTCGGAACCAGTCACCCAAGCGCACACGAAGGTCGATCGCGAGGTCCTATGTGAGGGCCACTGAAGGGTGAAACAGCGAAACTGCAGGGCACGAGTTCGCTTGCTTATCCGGAGTGTTCTGAGTGACATCCCGACGCAGCCCTGGCCTTGCGGTCGATTTCCCTGTACAAGCTCTCAGCCTCATCGAACCGTTGAAAGTATGCCGCGACCTCGCAGGTGGCAATTTCACTGCAGCCGTGGGCACGCCTTCTTTTCGGTGACCTACACTGCCGAATCTCGCAGTCCTACTGCTCCACTGCTTCACATGTTCGATACCCACCAGACCGTGTCTCACGCCCGCCTCGGCCTTCTGCTTGACCCGGTCGTCCTGCCAGGTCTGACATTGGAAGCTGCCATGGCGTCCCTTGACCGCAAAACCGTGCATGGCAGGAGACATCAGATGTCCAGAAGGCGGAGGCGCTTGACGAGCTGGATGCCCTCAGTTTCGCCAAGACTTGAAGTCGGGGAGTACAGGAGCGTCGCTCGTGCTGAACTCCCCTTTCTGTCTGCTTTGGCCCGGACCTGGTAATCCTCGAAGCGCACGAAGGCCTTTTCGGCCACCCCGAACTCGAGCTGCTCCAGAGCCGCCTCTGCTAGCAGCCTGCAGAGCGGACGCAAAGCCTACTCGGCCAATCGTGAGAAAGCCTTTCATGCTGAGACGAACAGCACGGTTTGTTATCTGCTTGTCCTGCTCCCGTTCCGCATAGCTTTCTTCGCTCTGATGGCACGCGTTATCTTGCAGCAGGACTTCCTCATCGGGTGGACCGACCTTGCCCTAAGCCAGGCAAGAAGAAAGCCCCAAACATCGTGACGTCCCACTGCTGCATCCAATCTGAGCTTCTGTTCTGAGGCCCACCCGAGGCCAACCCGCCATAGTCCCAGAAGCAATCGTCTCGCAGAGGTCGAGGAGCCCGAATGATTACGCCAAGAGTGTCCGGTCTAGTCATCTGATGTTTCACGAGTGGGAAACATACGGGCCCTCACATTAAACATGAGACTCTTGCAGTCGCATCCGAAAGTCTGCCAGCATCCACAAGACATCCCTTCTTTGCAACAGGTAGGATGTGAAAGCCAACTTGCTCCGCAACTACGGTGTGATGACAATGAAGGTGCTAGTCGGCAACATACGATTCACCTCTCAACACCAAGAAAGGCAAGGATGTCTCTGTCGTTTCTTGGCTGCTGCAGCTCAGGGAAATAAAAAGGTGCGCCATGTGTGGCCAGCACAGGGATTCAAATTTGTTGAAAGTTCTGCCATCGTAATTCGGAACAGGCAGCACGGCCCCAACGAGCACTGAACACCAACTGCAAACTTCATGACACACAGGCAAGCCCTGCATGATTCTCATCTGAAACAGCTGCCTGTGGTCCTTTAATTGCATGCATTTTGGGGCTTCTCAGCCCTATGCATGGGAACCGGAGGCTCACAGAAGTCTCCACCACAGACCTGGCAACATGGCGCCGTTACTTTTAGCGGGTTGAAATCATATTAAGCTGCTACAGCCACCAGGGGGCGGCCCAGGTAGCACTATGTCTTCCATTCAAAACCCTGCACACGCCGCCTCTGGAGACATGAAACCATCATTTGGATGGTGTCGGACTCAGGGCCGTTGCGGGAACGACCTGACTTCAAAGCGTACAAACCCGCGATGGCTCAGAGGTTTGCAGCAAGAGTCCGCCTGGTGCACGGGTCGCGGCGGCCCTAGTGCTTTCCGATCATCTTGGCGGGGCCTGCAGAGGGGACGGGAAGGTTTGTGCTCTTGGCTAGGCCCAGACTTCGGCCGCCTGTGAAGGGGCCCCTTTCGAACAAAGCGTCTCTGGATCGAGCTTTCTGTTCGGCCTCCTGCAGCTCTCCTCGCAGCAGACAGCACCAGCGCGTCGCCGCGTCGTGACCATCAAAAGCCCCCGTCGGTGTGCCCAGACGACGCCGGGGCAGCTCTGGATGCTGGGGCAATTGGGTGTATGCGGGATGTGGAGTGACGCAGGACAGCGCAAGGTGACGAAACGAAACCTTGCACGAAATGTCGTAAGAACGTACCGTACATGCGGAGCCATTACTCAGACGTGGAATCGTCCGCTGAGCCGCTCTGCTTCTTGCCGTGCTCGCTCTGCAGCTGCTCAGCGTGGGCCCTCCTCGCCCTGTCCATCTCCTGACCGCGGCATTCCGCGCGAGCTTCGTGTCAGGTTGGGGCTGGTCAGGGCTTGCCTGTGAATGAACTGCAAGGGCATGCGAACCATGCTGTATTAACTCAGATGCGCATCTATCTGATCAGCACGTCAAATTTTTGCAACTTAAACGACTGCGTGAATCGGCTGAGTCAACTTGCCGGGACTGTGGCTGCACAGCTCCCATGCCTCACCTCATCACTGTGACACGCCCACATCAATGACAGCATCAGGCCCATGGCCTCTTTCGTCATGTGCCCGGAGGAAAGGACACCTGTGTGTGAGAACTTGCAGGCTTTCATTCTCGATCATGAGCAACAAAGCTATGGCTGAGCGGCATCTAATCAGGGCCTCATCCAGACGTCTTTCAAACACATTAGCTCACTAGCCCTTCTTCGGATCTACACGAAGCGACATTTTTCGCCAACACCTCCTTCCCCAGGCCTGATCCTGTCACGGACCCGGCTTCTGTTCGTGGCAGCTGTGCCTGTCGATGAATTTCAGATAGTTCCGCATCCTTGGCAGCCCAGGCCACGATCGCAGTAGTCTCTAAAAGCGCGATGGGAGTGTTTTTCGCTTCTGCTTAGCAAGTTCATTACATTGGCAGATTCAGAACGAGCTGCTTGATGCACACCTTGCGAATATGCCCACCAGACCCACAAGGTAACCCAACAGGCTCTGCAAGACCACGCGTCTCCTTTCTTCATGAGGAAAGACTTGTTCTCTTCCTCCTCTTGGGCGGCCTGCACCTGGCGTCAGCGTGACAAACCCTGGAGACGTCTGACAACACAAGAGCATCGACGTCTGAAGTTTGCCTGCCGTTCCCGCAGCATTTGCATGTGCTGCAAAAGGGCAATGGTGGCGTTCGCCTGCACGGACCCATGCTGCATCCTGCGATTACACAAGACCCCTCACCGATCTTCGCCCGACCCTCTGAGCTGTTGTGCTGCCCCTTTGTTGGCCTGCCTTTCTAGCTCAGCCTGGCCCTGGCCTACTTTACACAGAAATCCTTAGAGAAATTGCCCAAGGATGCTCGTGAATCCCGGCACCATCCCCTTCCCACTTCTTCTGCCCTGCCTGGATATTTTCGTCCGCATGCCCTGCCGGAAGCAACAATGGTGCGGGCTGCTTGCAAACACTTCAGTGAGAGCCTGGGTAGCCGCCGGCCATGGGTTGATGAGCAGGCCACATGTCGGCATCACCTGCCAACTACAATCTTGGCCACACGAGCTGAACGAGGAAGGGCTTCACAAGCTGTTCAAGGAGAACATCGCCACATGCTTGCATGAACATCTTAACTCTGCATCCACAGCCACGGCGCACCGTCCGAAAGACCTGCATGGCGCATCAACTGCGATGTGTTCCTGGCAGCACACATACATGCAGAGACCAGACTTCACGCACGCAAAATAGATGAGAGACTTCAACTCTTGTTGTTCCGATCTTATTGGAAACGCGCTGGAGCCCAGATTTATGCTTTGGGATGCAACGGCGCAGGTTGGGATCCAATACTGCTGCATCTATCATGCAGACCTATCTTCTGCATGCTGACCTTCTACGTAGACGACATTTGCCCAACCCACATTCCTGGAGGCCCTTCCAACTCTCGGAAGCGCATTCCCATGTGCTATACCCATGCCCACTGCCAGCATCCTAGTGGTTATAACCTTTATTACGCATGACTCCTGTCTCCTGTGTTGCTTGCGATTTCGGGCTGGTCAAAAGTGTCGCAAGCTTGCATGAACACAGATGCTTCGGCCTCGACAGCTGGTTCTCCAACCGGCGTTGTTCGTGGAGACCGTTCTGGATCATTGCCATCTGCCTCTTCAACTCTGCATTCTCCTGTTCCTGGGAGCGAAGGAAGAGGAAACTGATTGTGCAGACGTGTGACAACAACGCGCCGGAGTGACAGCAACCAGACGACCAGCGTAACAGGAATTACCGCCGGAAACCAGGGCAGGAGGCTTTTATGCTCGCAAAGTGGGGGACCGAAAACACCAGAGATGGCTTCTACATCCTATCATAACCCTAAACCGTACAGCGTGCTACAAGTAGCGCCTGTGTAGACCATAATGCGAAGCACCAAACCCTGCACCCTAAACCCTAAGCCCTAAACCCTTCAGCCCCTAAATCCGTAAACCCCTAACTGCCGGATGACTTCGTTTCTTCAACTGCGCCTGGGATTTGTCAGTTGTCGAAGACTGCTTCGGGGGAAGTTTCGATTGCCGAGTCTTGGCGTCGGTTGAAACTGTTGGGGCTGGCAGGTAGACATGCTGGAATCGCAGGTCTGATTCCCTCTGGGACCGGAAAGCAGCCCCTGCCTCGGGGCCTCAGTTCCTGTTACAAGGGCCTGGCCCCGCCCTGACGCCTTCATGCAAACAAAATACCTGTTCATTTGCCGGTTGTCAGTTGTAACAGGACACCACAGAACGACAAGATGCGATGCGCTCAACATCTTCAGCAATCGTCATGAGATCCTCAACCTGACAGCGACAGCTGACGACGGCAAGCTTTTGCGGCGGAATACTCTCAAAGTCGGCACTGGGCTGCTGGTTCCGTGCCTGCTGCGGAGGTCCTTTGGCTGAAACCTCAGTTGCTTGCAGTGCTGGAATTGAGTCGGGCTTTGGAAGTTTGGGCTGGTTTGGACGAGCAGCAAGCTGCTTGATGGCCTCTCTCAAAGCAGCGGTGAGGCGGCACTCACCTTCAGAGTTTGTGCGCAGCTGATCGCATCTGAGTCTGTGTCAGCATCGCCGCACTGGCGGCCAAGGTGCTGGAAGTACTCCGAGGGCTCAGAGCCTCGGAAGATCTCAGAAGCAGACTGCGTCGGTCGGTCCACTGCTTGTGACCGCTCGCTGCCCAAGCGGCTGGAGCCTCCGCTGGGTCGGCATCGATTGCAAGCCTTGCGGATGCGGAGACCCGGCTCATGGGCTCATGCCATGCTCGTGACTTCACAGCAACAAACGACGGACCTGACATTACTGCACACTTTTCGAGTTGCTTTCGCTGGTTCTGTTTTTTCGCTGGTTCGAGTTCAAAGGCGCTACTGGTATGTGCCTTGAGATTGCGGCCAGGTGTCGAGTCGACGCAGCTCATGGCAGCAGACTCGGCACCGACTCGACCGCCGTTGTCCATCAGGCCCTCGCTCCAAAATTCGTCGACCGTAAAGGAGCCACTGCTTCTTGCATCCGAGCTGCCAGTCCGGGTTCAATGATACCCACGGGTCTCTGCTTGATGACGGCGGTCAAAAGCGACCCGTCTGTGATTCCGAGCCTCTGGAATCGCTGCAATCTCCACCAAGAGTGGTCTGACGCAAGCTTTGTGCAAACGAGTGACTCGTCGATGACGGCATCTGTTTCCCTCAAATAAGCGATGTCACATGAAGGAGGAGCAGGAAACGGCAGGCAATTCTGAAACCACCTGAGATTCCCTCCTCATGAAGTCTCTCCCATTCATCATCAAGCCAAGCTACAACTCGTTCTCCTGAAACGAGAGTATCGGCAGTGAACCCGGAAATGGCAGGGCCTCTCCAAGTTCGTGCCAGTTTCTTGCAGCAGCCCGAGCACTTTGGGTAACAGGCAGAAGTCCTAGTGCACTTACAATTTAAATCTCCATGCTGCCTGACAGAAATGGCACACAGTAGCATGAATTCTCCAGCAGGCAACAATGTGATTAGAACCTATCAACTCCGCCTGGCTCACTTGTGCTGCCAAATGAAAAACCTCGCAAATCAGCCAAGCCGGGGCATCGACCACAACGTTCAGCTTTGCAGAAAGCCTGCATTCAAAATGCGGCCAAACGGCCGTGCTCTTCGAGGACACCGCAATCTCGATGGTGTTCTCTGGACTGGTCTGTACACGAACCTCAAAGCGATCAAACCCACAGACCACCGATGTGCGGATTGACCTGCTTCAGCTGGGCCGCCGTGATGCGCTGCTCCTCACCAGCCCCTTCAATGACATCTTCCATCGGTGAGGACATTCCTGCAGTAACCAAACCCCCCTACATCCCCCAACCCACCTTCAGAACCTGGCCCCCAAGATCCTCCGAGCCTCTCTGAGCCTGCCAGAGCGGTCTCGCCTCGCTGCCCGAGAGCGTGTCCAGGCGCCCTTTCTTTCGCCCCCCCCAAACTTGATCCAGCTGGCCGCGGGTCATTCAGACTTCCTCGCTGTGTGCAAGCCTTGGATGCCCTGGACCCTCGAACCCTCAAGGCCCTGTCGATCCCCCGTCCCGTGACTCGGGTCGAGTTCAATGCAGCCTCCAGAGTCGCGGGTGTGGATTCGCATCGACCTCAGCCGGGCTTCTCCTTCCAAGTGCCGAAGAAGCGAGCATGTCTGAGGTCCTTACATAGTTGAAGGCATCCTTTAGGTTGGACACCTGGCGGAGGGATAGTGAGTGGTCAACGCTGCACAGGAGTCAGGACAGGGCCTTCGTGAGGATGTCGCGCGTGTCTCTGAGACTCTTCGTCTCGAAATCCAGAAGCACCTCCCCCCCAAACGTGACTACGCGGCTAGCCCAGAGGCCCAAGTCTTTTAAGGCAACACCACGCTGCCTGACGGCGAGTGACAACACCAGTGCAATAAACTTACGGTGTGGTGGCATCGGCCTCCTTCCGGGGATTCTCCGGGTTCTGTATGACCTCCACGAGTGCGAATTGTCGTTTCGCACTTTTCACGCGGCGAAGGACTTGACATGTGCATCGTCTGGGCAACAATGTCACCGGAGCCATCGTCAAACAGTAAAGTGAGTACACAAGAACCAGCAAACGAGCAGAGATGTTGAATCTGAAGGCTATGACGAGTGCTTCGTCGATGAGCACACTTTGGATCTGGAGGTCTTTGAAGGCGCATATGTATGCGTTGGAGAGCACGGGCTCCTGGAGTGGGTTCTGCAAACGGAAACCTTCGAAAACCTTCGGCACCGGGCTCTTGCGAAGAGGCTCCTCGGGCTGAAGGCCCCGGACCTCGGGACTCAGCAGCACGAACGCATGACAGACCCCCACGGACCACCTGTGGCTTCTGGTGCAAATCAATGTGTCACCGCGTGGGTGCCAATGTCAATGCTATGCAACCCAATGTAGGGCAACCGAGGCTTGTGCTATGTACATCCGTGTTTTCTCCATAATGGCGAAGAGGTCTGGATTGTCGGTTGCCCATCGCATGTTCCAAACCTCATCGAAGCATTGAAGTTGTGCGAGTACATCGCTGGAGCCCAGCACGGTGAGGCTTCAGCATCCTTGCGCTCGAAGTCCAGCTGCTTGCCAGGCCCATTGTCCTGCGCTGGACATGTCCGGGCGAGCGAGCCGGCGAGCAAACTAGAGCGAGCGAGAGATGCTCGTCTTTTTGTCCGCTTCGCAGCAAGACGGGTGACTGGTACATCAGCAGGCAAAAGCTTGGGCAAGCTTGATCACCATAGATGCACATGGAAGTTTATGGAATGATTCAGGAGAGTAACTCGCCCCAAAATGCCCCCATGATGGTGAGATTCGCTGATTGCGAGTCAGGTCAGTACTCAGATCAATCATAGCTGGGGGTTCGGCCCCATTTCACGTTAAGCTCCAACACAAAGCAGTCTGTAAAACTCCTCAAGAGGAATTGCAGCTCTGATTGAGCGAAGGGAACATAGATCATGATCTATTTATTCTTTAGATAAGCTCGATGAAAGATCGAAATATAGTCCGTTGGTTCGTGGCCCTTCCCTACCCACGGATAGCGCGAGAAACCCCTCACTGCACGGGAGTTCAGGCCGCCACTGGCATCACCTCGCATGTGCGGGTCACGCTTTCCAACACGACATCGCCACTTTGCAGTGCACTTCTCCGGTGCGCTCGGGCAGGTCTAGACATGTCAGAGGCCAAGCAACTTGAGGCATCTTGAGGCGCAGGCTGGGTTGGTCTTCAGCTGAATCAGGAGACTCCTGGCATTTCGTCTGACTGTGGCTCGGCGTGAGGACTATACTAGGCATCTATGAAAACGGAACAGGCATAAACATTAAACATCTCGACAAACCTGCATTGCTGTCGCAGCAGCAGCAGCAGCAGCAGCAGCACTTTGATTTGTCGACTGTCCGAAAGCGTGGCAGGCGTGGCCTCAGGCGCGAGGTATCGCGGCTGTCCTGTGCGGAAGTGAAGGTGGGGAAGGTTGAACGACGAATGCGACATTAGATTGCATTTAGATGGGAAAGGATCTGCCAGAGACTTACGAAAGCCTCGAAGGGCTTTTGGCTTCGTCTGCTTTGAACTGAACGGGCTTTCGCGTGAACGTGGCTGTGAGGTGTGACGGGAACATTGAGTTTGCACTCCGAGCACTAGGTCAGCAGTTCAAGGGTCAATCAACCAAGAAAGGAAAATGGCAAACCCAAGCAAGTCAGCAGGGCATCATGATCGTCTGCTGTCGAAAACCTGCATCCAGCCTCTGCAGCCTTCGCATTGGTGTCGATGAGCTCGCACACACCTCAGCTGACGCGAACAAGACGTCCTGCAGCTCACTTGAGCCTCGGATGGTTTGCATAAAGCCTACCACGACTAACTCAGTCCGGCTGCGTTCCCACGGGTTGGCTCCCGGTTTGAGTGCCTTGCATGCGGCGAGCACTTGAAGGAGGCAGGACAGCAGCTGAAACTCGCCACTCCGCTGTGACCAGCCTCCTCCCTTGCCTTCTCTGAGGTCTCCTCGTTGCTTCGATTCGAAGCCTTCGGCAAGGAGCCACCGAGCTGCATCCTTCAGCAAGTCGTGCCCCTCCACGGATGTCTTGGGCGAGCACCATTCGTGTCTTCCTGGTCGCCACACGCTCCTGCAGATCATTCGATCCAACCGTACCCGGTACAACATCAAGAAATACAACATCAGCTGTGGGACAATTGTGGTGAAGATGACAATCGGAAAACTCCAACGTCCAGCGCTTCCTCGTTCCACTTCTGCAGCTCGGCCGTGGCATTACCACGGCGCTGCTCCTTCTCCTGCGCCTGGTATTCAGGATATGTTGCACTGTGCCACGATGCCTTTGCAACCGTACTAAGGCATGTCGGCATGAAGCTCATCCGGCATTCACTAGTCACTGGCATGCTGGGCTGCTAGGCGGACCTCCTTGCGTGCCATCTCTTCCAGATCCTTCTCGTGTTTCTCCTTGGCCGAACGACAGCAAAACCAAGTCTTCTCACTCTGGGCCTCAGCAGGTCTGCGAACGCGCTCTCGTCCTCCCACTCTCGAAGCGCATTCATCTCCGGGATGAGTGGAGTGGCACCCACTGGATCCTCTACAACTCATGGATCTGCCAAGCAATTCTGAAGCCTACAGATTGCAGACCGCTGCAGAGAAAGGCATTCAAACTTTGACTTCTGGAAGTAGCGATGCTCATGTTCACAACAATGCACACGGGCCTTCACGGGGACGCCCTGAAATGGGTCCTGTCCACACCGAGCAAGAATAGCAGCACCTAGAAAGCCATCAGAAAACTGGTGCGTCGTTGATCGGACTTTCCTACAATTACCGACTCTCGTCACCTGATGCGACACACGGCTCTCTCCTGGTAGGGTGCAGCAGGTGCCGGAGCAGATCCCATCATGTCCATTGGCGCGGCCTCTCCCGACGGCGCATCTCCACAGAAAGCTGGAAGACTTGATGCCGACCTCTGCACCCCCAACGTGTGGCATGGGGTCGACGGGCGCCTGGCAGATGACAGCAGACCAGCCCGAAGCACGAGCACTACCCACCACAAAGTGCAAGCCTCAGCTATGGGAGGGGGCGCTGCCTGCAAGATGAGACAAATGGTGAGCAAGCAAATCCGCTACAACCGCTACACTTCACATCTGGGATGGCTCGCGCCTCCGTGAATCCGAGAAGATTGCTGCCATCGGCGCCCTGTGCTGCACGTGTCCAACGACTTGAAGCAGCGGAGCAAACAGCAAACAAACAGAGAAGCGGCAACAGCAACAGCGACGACGACGAAGACGACGACCGGCACTTGCACTGCTGGGACACTAGGAGATACCAGGACGAACCAGACCCAGAACCGGAATCCACAGCACACCAGAACCCGCACCAGCACCAGCAACAGAAAGTCACCAACGAAAAAACACCGCCTTCAAGCAGCAATCCACATCTGAAAGACCGAAGATGCACGACATGAAGAAGCAAAAGCAAAATCAGCTGTCTTGGATGGCATAGGGTTTGCCTCAACTTCCTCTGCCAGCTAAGCAGGTTTTTCAATTTCTGTAAAAGACACAAAATCACGGACTTAGGTTTGCAACGCGACCAATTGCAAGCTACATTTGGAGGACCGGGATTCCACGAGCTGCAACCTTCTGCTTTGGCGCCTCGTCGCGTGCCTTGGGCCTCCTAGAAAGCTTCCAAGAATTAGAACTGCGCTGTGCACCGTTGCGGCCGGCCTCCATTTTTCTGAAGCTGAAGGTCTCACAGCTACGGGCAGACAGCAGATCGCTTCGAGCCACAGAAGCATGCGGAGGAGGTGTGTGCACTCTAACTGCACTCTCGGCAGCTTTCTGTCTGAAGCCTCTTTAGCCACGAGACAATGCAGGGGGTCCTGCGAATTGGTCTCTGCTTGTTGGCTAAAGAAGCCATGATTGACAATCTGCATCAGGAGCGCACACATCTTGCATGCAAGCATAGACACCGGGTCCGACAGACTGCTATCAGCGAACTGAATTCCAAACTACGAGCATGCTACTGCCGAGGGTGCAGGCAGCCCACCTCGACGTCGAACAGCAAGAGCACCTCATGTCACGCCGTTTCCGTCGCAGATTCTGCTACGGCACTTCATTGTACAGAGAATGACTTCAGGCTGTGGGCGTCTACCGGAGCAGCATTAAGACCCCTGCACCATTGATGTCAATGACTGACATCCTTGTGCTGTCGCAGTTGGCAGCTATCACCTCCACGAAGATGCACAGCAAATCCAAACCATGGAATCTCATGCCTTAGAACCCCGCCTGGGGCCGACATCGGATGGTGAAGCGTGCTTCCAAAGACAGGTGGGGCCTTGCTGTGGAGAGGCTTGCCGGCGGGCTTCTGGGACCAAAGAATGCTAATGGAAAGAGCCCCACTAAGATGTCCTCAGTGTTCAGGGCAGTTCGGGCGGCAAGAACACGACACAACCGCACCATGACTGTTTATCAGATACTTCTCATGCCACAGCCCACAATGAACAAAGAGGGCCCAACAGGGCATAGCGATGCACGACACCGCTTTCGCGTGCCACCAGCAAGCATTGCTCTGTGGCACAGATGCAGGCAATCGGATCCTGCGATTGACGACCATGCATGCAACTCACGTGACGAAGGCTGTGCTCCTGCGTAGTCATCGAAGGCGGCACGAAACTTTCCTGCACGCAGAATACAGATGCCATGCTGCATTCTAGCGCTCGTTCATATCTTCTTGTACGGGACATAGCTCTTGTAACGAGTCACTCACCCATTTTCTCTGGCCTTGTCATGGGTCCCACTACCGGGTGCAAAGGACTCATCAATGTGAAACCTGCCAGGCACCGATACTATGGCACGAAGCAGGGGGTAATGCTTGGCTCAACAACATCCGCATGCCGCTACCGTCGTTCCCACACGACTCTGGACCACAGAAAAGCGTGTCGGAGGCACATCATCTCCGCTCTCTTCCTGGCAACACTCCAGTGATGCATTGCATCTGAGATCTACAATGTGTACAAGCGCACACACTGAAATGGTTCCCGTCAAGCAGGACGGGAAGGACTGCTTGATGCCCATTCCAGCAGCCGAAGCCAGGTCGCCCTGTGCTCAAGCGGCTGCATGTGCGAAGAGTCGGAATTCTCTTCCCTGCCGTGCAGTCAACAGATGCTCCGAGAACCCCGCCTGTGCCTGCCGCGAAACACTAGTTCGGTAGCTCCAGATATACACGACGTCCTGGGAGCGAAATGCACCGGAGTAGCAGAGTCGCTGTGCCGACCAGCGGCTTGCACCAAACTCAAGCGGATAAGTGCTTCTCAAGCGTTGCGTCCCCGCTTGTCTGTCCTCCGAAGTTACGATGACGTGGGAGTTCGTCATTGCAACATGGACAGGGTCAAGCTGCATATACCTCGCAGAACAACCGTGGAGCTTCCCGTCAAATCGGATAATCACCCTTCATGCGCTGGCTTCAGACACTTTGTCAGCTTTCAGTTACTTAGCAGCACGGTCTCGTAAATGCCGCGAGGGCCACTAGAGAACACCAGGAGCAGTAATCCTGCCGAGAGGCTTGGAGTCTACTGGACTGCCGATGTCATTGCAGACAATGACCTGGAGCATCAAGATTCAAAATTGATCCTTCACAAAGCTCTGCTAAGCCTTGTTGATGTGCTTCTGACCGACCAGATGTCCACCACTGATCTTGTGAACCATAAAGGACACTGTACCCACGTGGCGAGGCCTTTTCAACATCTGGTCTTCTCTTCGGACAATCTTGCCCCATGCAGCCTGCAAATCCTTGCGCCAACTACAACAGGAGACTTCTGTCTAGGAACCGCGACAGAAAGGGAGAAAAACAGAGAGAGAGAGAGAGAGAGAGAGAGAGAAAGAGAGAGAGAGAGAGGGAGAGAGAGCGAGACACATACTGGAGGACAAAGCTTTGCTGCAGATGCGATTGGCAAGCCTCTTTATAAGAGCTTGCCGATTTAGCTGTCTGCAGCCTTCACTGGACAACCCTTCAGCCCGCGGCAATATGCTGGCCGCTGGCATCATCTGCCTGCACTTGTCAAGAAGAGAACAGAACAAGATCGAGGGTTGCCTCTTCGCACTCAGCCACCTTCGTTCTCGCAACACGACACTTCGAAGACTCTGCCAATCGACTGTACGAGCAACAGTCCACTCTTCTCCCGCAAGCGGCAAGTTAAGCTCCGTTGACAGTTAGTCAAGAGCCACGGGTGAGTTCCAAAGGCCTTACCACGCTCAAGCCCTGAAGCCTTGCATTCTGGTGCTGATCCCATCCGCTGAACTGAAACAGATCACCCCTGCCGGCCTTGGTGACCAGGACGCAGTACTCCTCCGAAGATCTGATGTGCCTCACCGGGGCCGGCACCGGGGCAACCCGGGGCGGCAGAGCTGCGACACGCCACGAGCAGACAGCCAGTGGTCAACAACCCCGTTTGAGCCAAGGTGCGTGACATGCTTAATGTACTTGGTGTATTTCTCCTCGGAGAATCTTGGAGATTCTGGATGTGACATGCGCACAGTTCTGAATATGTGATCCGATATTTGTGCAGGCTGCTCTCGCCGTTTACTCATGGCAAGGCTCATCGCTGTGGGTGTCCCAGAACACGACCACGTGCTCGTTGCGCTCTTTTCGCAACACCTGCAAGCAAAAGACATTCATACTCACAACTCGGCCCCACTCACTTGTCTGAAGGCCACGACCGCGTAGACCAGCGTTCGTGAGAAATATCCCCAAAGATAGTCCGGCCTGCTCTCGATGCAGCGAATCCTTCTCTGGCAACCGCGGCTCAGCTCCCCTCTCATACTCCCTTCGTTGGCCCCATGCTCTGCCTGATGTTGGCGAAGAAGATATGGGAATCAACCGCCAACGCTAATCGAAGGCCGGAACCTTGCGAGTCACCGTTGTGCTGAACGCCCAGCACTAGTTGCAAAATACATCATGTGAGAAAGCCGAAACAGTGACGCATGCACTCAAGGGTGTGGGCCGGGCTAAGGAGTTGGACTGACCCGATTCAGCTTGCTGCAAATCATTACCCAACTTGCACAGGTCGATGGGTCAAGATGAGCGCAACCTGCGGAAGTTTCCTTCTGCGCTGAGTGCCCGAGCCCTCCCAGGAGATCGAGCGCAGATTCTGCCCAGGAACTCTCCTCGGTGCAAGAACTACGTTAGCCTCAGAAACTCTCTCCGGGTCTCACGACAGCCTGCTCTGTGCAAGCTAGCAGCAGGGATCTGAGATGCTGCCCACTCGGAGCATAAAACTGAACGATGCCCACCTGCGACTCAAGCCATGTGGTGGTCTCTTACCAGTGCAGTTTTTCGACTGCTTTCAATTTTTACGTCACGGCCAACCTCCAAGCCCAACGCACTACAACACATCAGCGGAGAAGGTAGTTCACGCGCAAGGACGGATCATCCAGTGAGCTTCTCTACTTGTGTGTGTGCTGGCCTCGCGGTCGGCAGCGGCTGCTCCTTGGTTCTGCACGCCTGCAATGGCAACCTTGGCCAAGCAAGAGTCCAAGGAGTATTGCTCTTCTGCGCTTTTGTGCAACAAATGCGTCCGTGGCCTTCCGCTTGCAACCAACTCAGTGCATGGCTACCGAGCCGTTCGGATCCCACTTGAGACCAGTGCATCGCCTCAGTGTAACGGAACTTTTTTGAGGACACCAAAGTGTACCAAGATGTACCCAGGCTCTTCTGATCTTCTGTCGAGACGCAACTGCGTATCCAAAAGCACGGGCTTGTCATCGGCATCACCTTAGATGCACCATCGCGAAGCGACACGTACTCCGCTGGATGCTTCTACTTGTAGATGCGGTTGCGCCGCTTCTCATGATCTGGACGCGGCCGTTCTCGAAGCCCAAACAAAGAGTTGGCGTCTGTAACAGCAACATCCAGCCAAGACTCAGCTACCAGCAATTCTGACAACGGAACACAGGCATGAGCCTGATTCTCTGGGCCGTTGGGCCCGGCAAACCTGCAGGCTCATGAGATTCGAGCAATGGCTCACTGGATTTCTGCCGTGCAGCCGAGGTTCCAGTCAATGCCGGCAATCGCTACGGTGCCCTCGGTGCCACTGTCTAGGCCTGGCCGACAACAGGTTGAATGTGATCTGTAACATGGCTGCTGGCAAGATGTGAGTGACTGGGAGCTTTGCACGTTGCTTCGTACTAGCTTACGGGCGTCCTCTGCAAGAGTGCCGGGATGACAGTAGATTGGCACCTTGTGGGAGTAGATTCCTTCATTGTCGTAGACGTGCACCTGCACAAAGCCACATTTCCACGAAAAAAGAATTTCCCGGCCAAAGGGTTTGGCCTCGCCGTTCAGAGTGCAGAAGAGGATGTTCTTGCCATCCGGCGACCACTCGACAAAGGCGAGCTGTGTCTTGACCTCAATGCCACGCACTCACAAATGTAGAAACTTCCAGGATTTTACACTGTCTGGGCACATCAGATCCATCACCACTCATTCTCTGTTGGTAGAAAACGGAGGGGCCGACTTCCTTACCCCACAGCCTGGCAGTGTTGCAACTAACTACGAGAAAGATGCAGTGTGCAAGAACAACACCGACGGATACTGCATCACTGTGTCCAGCCTTTGCCCATCCACCGTGCCGACTATAACTGCGCCATCCTCGTAGATGATGCAGATCCTCAGCAGCAGCGGTTGCCGGACATGTTCCCGCCAATTTCCGAGTCTCTCGATCTGCCTCACGCTGCATTAGGACTTCGAGGAGAACACAGCAATGCCCCCGAAAACCGGGCCCGGCACTTCTGGCAGTCGGCACCTTGGGGCTCACGGCCACAAAAAGTCCTACTCCTTCCCCCAGCTCTGATGCCTGCACTGCTCAAACTACAATCAGGGACTCCTGTGGACCTCTGTGCGATACACAAAGCAATCTGTAATCATCACAAGTTCTGGTCTTAGATGTGCTGAATGTCGCATCGGCTGCTCGGCTCCCCACTCCACTTCATGTCTCGAACTACACTTCGGTTTCGATTGTTGATCATTTCCTCACACGTGCAAGATTGCATGGACAAGACAAGCCGAGCAGAAGCTCGACGAATGTTCAAGCTCGAGCGTTCTACGGTAGAACGATGTTGCAACAGGTCCTCGAACCAAATTCCTCTATGGAGCATCCACACAATGATGAGGCCATTCCTGCCCGGCCCAGCAGATGCATCTCTAGTCTCCAGGGGCCACAGCCTATCCCGACGACAAGCCGGGTTCGTGGCTGGTCACTGGTGGTCAGCTTCCGGAAATTTTCATTCCAGGTGATGACCATTATGGTACCTCGAGGCTGCCCGGCGAGCGTCTTGATCGAATCAACAGTGGACTGTTTGCCGAAGTGTAATGCTAGCCGCTAGACCTCCTAGGGTCCTAGACCTTGGGCAAACCACAATGAACCATCTCTACGATGCAGCATCCAAATGCATGAGCCTTGGTGGCCCTCCAGCGTCTGATTCATGGACAGGTTGCCTGAAGGCCAGCTTGAAGCAATGAATTGAGCAGCACCTGACTGCGGAAAGAGGCGCCCTTCTCAGGTCCCGGCTCTGCCCGGCCGCAGCTTTCGCGGCCCCATCAGAGGCAGATTCGAGCTTCAAGACCTCCACGCGTACCCCTTCTCTTCAGAGCAGGACCGGGCAAACAAACCTCCGGAGCTTCCCTCTTGCAGAGTCTTGCACGCAGTCTGCACCAGTAGCTGCCCGACACCCTCGGCCTTAAGCAGGCCGCTCTCGCCTGACGTGCACAGGGCAGCCGGGCAGCACAAACTAAGCACTGAAGGGCTGGCTCCCTTGTCCAGGAACTGAAGCCTGCCCAAATATATCAAGCCCTTTTCGGCCTACAGGCGCGAACCTGCTGACAATGGCCCATCCTATCAGCTCAACCTCTAACAAACTCTAACAGTCTGCCGCTGTACACTGCAAAGCTGGTCGCAGGAGGCCGGCCTCCGCAGGCAATCCATCCCTGCGCTGAGTTCCAAGACACCACCTGCAGACCGACCGCAAATTCAGCAATACTGGACGTCGTGGCGATGTTGCAGGATTCCAGATTCAGCATATTCGACATCCCACGTTACATTGAATGCAGGCAATTCGGGACACAAAACCTGCAACGCCAGTTGGTGTGGTATCGCGATCTTCTTGCTCAAATAGACCTCAGTTGCTTGGAGGTTCCTCAACAATCCTCTGACGGGGCTTCTTGCGGTAAAGGTTGTGCTCGCAAGTGCTTTGACAGTCTGCAGGAGACATGCGGAGGAACCCTGAGGTCGCGACGAACATCGTCTACGTGCAACGCAAATTAAAGCCTTGCGGCAGGAAGCGTCTCGAGTTTCAAAGGTGCGAGAGGGCCAAGAGTCAAGACCGAACACCGAGGCAAGCTTCAACGGTCTCTAACTCGGTGCCAGGCACGGACCATGCGCAGGGTCCCGCCTGGCAAGGCTAACTCTTCCGAATGAGCGGTTGGAACAGTCTGCTGACATGAGCCTCCTGAGGTGGCTGCAGGGCTGTGAGGTCAACGAAACTACCGCTAGTAGAACAGAGCTTTGTGGACTGGGAGTGTAGCGGGAACTGCAAAGGGCTGACACCCGCCCAAAGCTGAAAGGCCAAGTCTGCTCCAAGATCTCAGAAACACCTTGAAACAGGGGCATGGGAAACGGTTTCGAGCTACGAGGAGTTAAGTGATTTTGTTGCCACTCTTGGTGTGGCTACCCTGGCTTCTCATTTCCTGAACCAAGCTGCGCAGCACGTGGATGTCGTGTCCATCTGGCTCAAGAATGCAGAGAACTGAAGCTTCACTAAGTTATGCATCGAACTTTTCTCCACCACACCGCCAAGATCGTCCAGATGGAGAAAATGGCAGGTTCTGACCCTGAGGCAACGGAATTCGGGCCGGAGCAGGAACCTTTGCACGGCGGCTGCGAAAAAACACATGCCCTGGACTCTGGGTTTTCAAAGCGGACATCACAAGGACCGAAGAAAGCCGCCTGTGCCAGAGCGAGGGCTGCAAGGACCCAGCGCCTGGAGCCCTGCACGAAGCTAAAGCCAAGCAGGACGGTGCAGTCGCCTGCATGCGGAGAGCATCCAATGTTTACGTTCCCTGTGACATCATGCGCTGCATCCGCGCAGACGCAGGGAAGTCGCGGCTTATACGGGACAAAGCCGCTTGAAGCTCTTGGCAAAGCTATCAAACTGCCTGATGAACTGCTGGCTGTGCCTGCTGCAAGGCGCAGCTCGCCGATCAGCTCGACGGCGAGTTGGAGCTGGGAGGCCTCGAAATATCCGACTTCAAAAAAAGGAGAGCTTTCGTGAAACCAGCGCCGAAATTGCACACCATGCGATCAAGAGAGAAACTCCAGTAGAACACCATCTTAGTTCGCCCTCCTTACGAAGCTCTTAGGCATCCTCCGTTAGGTGCCTCGAGTAGGAGGACGAGCCTTTTCTCGCCATCCCCGGCGTGCATGCGAAGCCACCGGACTGCCAGGTCCTGCTCTGAGCAACATCTGCCCGGCAACAAAGCCTAAGGACTGCCGGCACGGTCTTTTGACCCTTAGGCCTGCCAGCGCTTGCGCCAAGCGATGGGGCCGCAGTCCTGCAGCCCCGGCACAGCCCCCTACATAGTAGCAACCACATCCAGGGAGCAGAGCTTCGAAAGAAGTGCCGTCCTCTAGCAGAGCCAGTACACCTGCAGCAAGGGACAGGGTTGCATGTGACCAACATGGTGGACTGCATACAGATGAAGCAAGAGACTTGGCTTGACACAAGCACTAGGTCAGCTGAGTGAGGAACTCGTTCCTTGTAACATTCCGTCTGCTACAGCGGAGCATTCCACGGCCTCTCGGAAATCTCAGCAGTTCGTGCAACGATCCATGCGATGCAGTGGCCTGCCTCGTGCTGTCGTCGCTGAAGGTCGTCAAGCACGACGGGATCATCACATACACAACCTGATCTTGCCCACGCCCCTTGTCCACCGACATGAACAATGATGCGCTATACTTTTACACAATACTATTTATGAACATGCATACGTACATACATACATACATACATACATATATATATATAAGTATGTAAATGTACATGTACATGTACATGTACATGTACATGTATGTGTATGTTTCTATGTATATGTGTATGTGTAAGTATATATATATATACATACACATATATATATATGTATATAAGAGTATGTATGTATACAAGGTGGCTGGGAAAGGGGGGTTGAATCGACCTGAAGCCGAAGCCGAATTGGTGAAGCTGCATTGTTGTAGGTGACGCCGCATTGTCTGACGCCGCATGGCGGTGTGACGCCGAATTGTCCCCTGACGCCGAATTACGGCTTGAAGCCAAATTACCCCTGACGCCGAATCGTGAAGCCGAATTACCCCCTGACGCCGAATTGTGAAGCCGAATTACCCCCTGACGCCGAGTTATGACGCCGAGCTACCCCCCTGACGCTGACTTGTGAAGCCGAATTAACCCGTGACGCCGAGTTGTGACGCCGAATTACCCCCTGACGAGCTTCCGATCTCTTGCAGCTTCTGCGCCTGGAGATCGAAGCAGGGCACATCCAGCACCCAGACATCAACCATGGCGCACGAAGCGGCCCGACCAAGCTACCTTTTGTTTCCTGATTCGGCTTCGCAATGCGACTTCGCCTCTTAATTCGGCTTCGCAAAGCGTCTTCGCGTCCTAAATCGGCTTGGCAAAGCGTCTTCGCCTCCTAATTCGGCTTGGCAAAGCGTCTTCGCCTCCTAATTCGGCTTCGCAATGCGTCTTCGCCTCCTCATTCGGCTTCGCCTACTGGGCCCTGTAAGCACCCATGCGGCTTCGCAAAGCGTCTTCGGCTTCAGGTCGATTCAACCCGTCCCCGCCCCGGCCGCAATGTATGTATATATATATATGTAGATAAATATATACATATATATATACATATATATATATGTAGATATATATATATATAGATATATATAGATATATAGATATAGATATAGATATATCTAT